AGCTTGAGTAACTTCACTTTCCTCGTCCCTATATTTACACTACTACTACTTCTACGTCATCTTGTCTCCAATGACATCTTCGTGTAGGTCATACATCCTCCAATAAACTTATGTCTTTAATTAGTATGAGCCTTTTGGGTTCTATTAATTTTGATCATTTGATTGTATGTATTGCTTCATGGGAAACAAGTTGCTTTGTCGTTTTGTCATAGTACCTTTGTAGTAGACAAACTATTTTTATTGATTCACTTTGACATTTGAGGACTTTTCTATGCTCTCTCTACAAATGATATTCGTTACTTATTGCTTTTTAGCGATGTCTATTTTCATTTTACATGAATATATTTTAGGCGAGATGTTTCAACTATCCTTTTTTTATACACAAATCGCTCAAATGATTCACACTAGATTTTCTTGCACCATTCAAATTCTTCACAGAGATAACTCCCTTGAGTATATAGATTCTCCATTTCTCTGTTTTCTCTCTAATCAAGATATATTTGTCCAACGCTCTTGCCTATACAATTTCCGACAAAAGGGTCGTGCTGAACGCAAACACTATCATATACTTGATAGTGTTCATGCCCTTATGTTATCTCCATCTTGTCCGGATTATTTTTGGATGAAGTTGTACTTACTGTTGTCTACAACAAAAATCACATATCTTATTCTATTAGTAATGCTAGTCATTTGGAAAAATTGCTCAATCAATATCCTAATTAAGTCTCATTTGTCATTTTGGTTATATCAGTTTTGTTTTTCTTCCTCCTTATGAACATACTAAGTTAGAATCTTGTATGCATCTGTGTTGTTTCTTTGGGTATGAGATAAAATATAAAGGTTATCATTGTTGAGGTCTTTTCCCCAATCGGTTACACGTGAGATAAAATATAAAGGTTATCATTGTTGAGGTCTTTTCCCCAATCGGTTACACGTATTTCTCATCATATCATATTTTGAGAACATACTAAGTTTGTTTCAATGTCTAAATTTCAATTTAACTTTGATCGTATATGTTCTTTCTTTACCTTATCCTTATCCTCATTGTTTCCTTCCAATGATGTGATCGCTTCAAACTCCTAAAGTTGTCCTTGTTGCGCCTTTTGAATTGACACTAATTCTCGAGTTTGATATAGCACAACTACCTGACCATGACACTGATCCTTCATTTGAACCTGATAATGATCTTCAGCGTTCCACTTGAATCAATCATGCTTAAACTAATTTACTTTATTATCATTGTTACTCTACCAGTTTGTCACACCATGAACTTAGATCCTTCCGTAAGGGTGGACCCTTTGTGGTAGCAGTCTATGTTTGAGAAGTTACATATTTTGGAAAAAACTCATGCTTAGGATATAGTTGATCCTTCACCTAGGAAGAAACTTGTTGGATGTAAGTGGATTTGGATCAAAACTCACTCTAATGAATCTGTCGAATAGTACAAGGCCCGTTTGGTAGCTAAAGGTTACATACAAGAGTATGGTATTGGTTATGAGGAGAATTTTGCCCTGGTTGTGCATTTCACATATGTTTGTTGTCTATTGGCTATTGCTATTGTTCGTCGGTGGTCACTTCTCCAGCTAGATGTCAAGAATGCATTTTTTGCATGGTGATCTGTTCAAGGATATTTATATGTCTCTACCCCCTGATTTTCCTCAATCCTCTAAGGTATGTAAACTTCATCATGCCTTCTATTGTTTGAAACGAGAACCCTACGTGTGGTTTGCAAAATTTAGCTTAACTTAGCTCTATTTTGGCTTTTCTTCCAGCTATCACGATTTTTCCCTATTCATTCGTATCGTTTCATCTGGCATTACTATTTTTCTACTCTATGTGGATTACATAATCATTATAGTCATTGATTCCAAAATTACTCCTACACCTTTTTAAATTCTAATTGTCACATTATTTAATGGATAACATCCCTCTTGATAATTCTACTTTGTATCGTCAACTTGTGGGAATTTTGATCTACCTGATTGTTACTTACCCCAGTATTGTCTATGTCGTTTATGTCATCAATCAATTTTTGTATGCTCTTCAGACGACTCATTATGCTATTGTTCTACAGATCCTTTGGTACATCAAGAGGACTCCCCTACATGGCCTTCATTATTCGACTCACTCGTCATTAATCGTTGATCGACTACTAACTTCTATATTTATTTTTTTTGGTGATTCTCTTATTTTTTGTCATTGCAAGAAACAAGTTCTTGTCTCCCAATCCAACGTTGAATTAAAGTATTATGCTCTTCTCGACCCTACTCCAGAGTTTATATGGCTTCATTAGTTGTTGGCTAATCTTGATGTGCTTCAATCCTCAACTACTATTGTTCTTTGCGACATTCAAAGTGTTATGAAGGTTTTGAGCAATGATATTTTTTATGAGCATACGAAAGCACATTGAAATTGTCTATCATCTTATTCGCTATCACGTTGCTCACAATATTATTTCATTATCTTCCACTGTTTCTAACAATAATACGACAACTTTATCAAGTTCCTCATTTCAAGCCGTTTTGAATAATTGAACTAGCTAAGTTGATTTCTAAAACCTCATTTTAAGTTTGAAGAAGATGTTGATATATATTTGCACATATATTTAATTGTACATATTTATTATATAGTTGGGCCCAAAGTTCATCATGTATACACTATTGTAACTTTAATTTTTAATTGAAAATATTAGTTTATTTTAGTTATTCTAACAATAACAAATAATTATTTAAATCTATAACCTATTGGTCAAAACAAAAATTTAAAACTCAAACTCCAAATAAATACACCTTTTAATATTTTCAATAAATCATAGAACTAATTACTAATATATATATATATATATGTGTGAAAAGATTAATGCTAAAATGTTGTTTTATAGTAAATTAAATTTTCTTTAAAATATTGGGTGTATTTTGGTGGGTGATTTTCTTCTCCTTTTTTATATTTAATATATTTTTAAATTAAAAATGTTACCTTTAATATCTATAATGAACTAAAAGAAAATTAATAATAAATTCACAACACTAACATGAATTTTTTTTTTTTTTTCTGAAAAGAACAAACTCAAAACAAAACAAACAAAAGAATTTGAGTGAACTGTTTTTTTAATCTCGTAACTTGACCACTTTATCATTTTAGTCCTGTAAGTGGAGTCTGTCGCAAACTAGTCCCATAAATAAAATTTTTTTGATGTTTTAGTCCTCCGGCGCCGGAGACGCCCGCGTGGCTCGCCGGAGGTGACGTGTCAGCCAGGTGTCCCGTCAGGTCAGCAATACCTGGCGGACATGTGGATTTATTTTTTTTTTTCATTTTTTTAATTGGACCAAATAAAAAAATAAAAAAAATACAAATAAAATTTAAAATAAATTAAAAATAAGTTTTTAAAAAAATTTAAAAAATAAAAAATAAATAAAAATCCACGCACTACAAGAAAAAATTATTTTTGTAACAAAACTTTTTTTGTCTTTAAATCTACTTTTTCCGTGTTACTAATGACGTTAGAGACGGAATTAGGAATGCAATTACGTTAGCTACGTGAACTTTAGGGACGAAATTCCGCTACAAATATATCATCTTTTTGTAGTGACGTGTCCGCCAGGTCAGCGACACCTGGCGAACACGTCACCTCCCGCGGGCCACGAGACAGGCTCCACTTACGGGACTAAAATAATAAGGGGTTCAGTTACGGGACTAAAAAAACAGTTTACCCAAAGAATTTTGAATTTTGACTAATATATTAATTGAATTCAAAGAGGACGAGACAAATCGACCACTTCATATTAATTCACTAACCATATTATAGAATCTGTAACAAAAAAAAAAAAAAGGTAATAAATTGTAAAGATGATTATTTAGGTAATATTTGATTAATAAGAAAATATTATCTTATCCATACTAATATAATTGGATCATTATATATATTTTTGAATATGAGTTTATTAACGTTAAAATACCTTACAAGTGGAAAATTGAATAAGATATAGTATATAATGTCACGAGCAAGTGTATAAAAGGGATAAGAAGAAACATATATAGTATAATATTAATTATTTTTATTGCACACACCATTTAATGTTAATGGATTTTTTTGAGAAGAAGAATGGATAATTTCAAATCTGAATCTTCTCTTAATTATAATTATTTTACAGCTATTTTAAATTTAATCCTACCTTATAATTACCTCAAACTTAGAATTATCTTCGGATAAAAAGTGCCGTTAGTAAAGGTAATAATTTCTAATTAATATATGTAAATACACATAATCACACACAATTAAATAAAAAATTATATTCTCTCTATACCCACTCATAAATTACTTAATTATTTAATTAATATTGTATTTTAACTACATTTTTACTCTAAAAATTACATTTTTTGTAAATTAGTATAATAATATTTATATAAATAAATATAAATTTAAAAATATACTTAATATGTAACATGTCCATATTTACTTAAAATAATAAAATGTGAAGGTCTGGTCGTGTAGGAATTTGATTTGTGACCGACGCCTCAGGTCAGGTTATCTGCCACACATGATCCGCCTAGTATAACTTTTCCGTCGGGCCTGATTTAAAGGTAGTATTATTTATTAATTAGAAGATATTAATATTGTTTTAACTTTTATTCAATTATATTTTAAATATTGCTCTCTAGTTTTATGAATTTATTTATTTTTTATATAATACTATTGTTTTGCATTTCTACAATTATATTCTTAGATCATGTATTGATAAACATTTTTTTTTTTACAATTAAAATCTCCGTAATCTTATTGTTACAGCATTATAGATACTGTTATTTTTTTATTTTTTTTTAATTATATATAGGAAATTCATATAATTTTAAATTAAATGATTAAAAAATAAGAAAGGAAAATGTTCCCCTCACAAATCTGTTAGTGTTGTCCTGTAATCTGTTGAGATTTGTTACAGCATTATATATACTGTGTGTGTATATATATATATATATAGACCTGATAATAAACTATGCCTGTGTATATATATGTTCGTTCTCCTAAAACTTCATTCTCTTCCTCACTTCTCCTTCGTCTCTAAAATAGAAGTGTTTTTTATTTCTGAAATCTCCTCATCAACTATCGAAGCTTCAGCTCTGTGACTGCGGTGTATTGACGACGAAAATTAATTTGAAGGTATATGCATTAGTTCACCTGTGCATATACATATATATATATATGTGTGTGTGTGTGTGTATGAGCCTACTAGATGAGTTGCTTTCTTCATTTTCGAATCTGAACGTGGTTTTGATTTGGTGTTCTTCTGTCGGTCGCTGGATCTCCGTCGCTCCTCTGCTGCTATGTTTGTTCTTCCGAAGAGCTTTTTCGATTTGTGGTTTTGCTGAAAGGATGTTGCAAGGACAGGATCTCGCCCGCACTATCGTCGGAATTGTCGGTTAGTGCTTCGTGCATTATTTGTGGCGGTTTTGCTGCGCGTTTTGTGTGACATGAAGAATTCGTTTAGAATTGTATCGGCTTTGCAGATTCGTTTGAGTTTTCACTTATCATCCGTACACTGGAAGGACGTTTCACCTTTTTGTTTATTTCTTATGTATTTGCTTTCTGAATTTTATTTTATTTTTTTATTTGGCTATGTTTGATGGTTGAGTATATGTTATTTAGTGTGTTTTCACTATTTGATTACTGTTTTCATTCTCAGGATTTTTGTGTTAACGTTTTTGCTTAAGGATTTACTGATGAATTTTTTAAAAATAACACTGTATAACTGTATATGTTGATAATCTTCAGATTGTTCTCGTTTTGTGATGTTTTGTTCTCTGTTTAATACTAATAAGTTGCTTATAAATGATTCTAGTATCAATTTCTTATATTTTGATTTGTTTAGTAGTATCTGTTAGCCCATGCACGCCAATAATTGTATGTTTAGGTATTCAAATGGCTGTTTGTGGCACACTGATTATAAACACTTGCGATTATAAAACAGATGAGATATGCATTTAGCATTTTGGATATTGAAATTGTCAATTTGAATATATGCTACTCATGCAATTTTTCTCGGTTGAGTTTTTCTGTTTATTCACAATTCAACAGGAAATGTTATCTCCGGGCTACTCTTTCTCTCTCCATGGTAACATATATTCAATTTATAAAAAATATTTCTATTATCATACTTTTGTATCGGAATCAATTTGCACTGACTATGAATCTGTAGCCCTACATTTTGGAGAATACTAAAAAAGAAAGACTCGGAGCAGTTCCACCCATACCCGTACATCGCCTGTGTGATGAACTGTCTCTTTTGGATCTTCTATGGTTTGCCGATAGTTCATCCTGACAGCACTCTTGTGATAACCATCAATGGCGCTGGTCTTTTTCTGGAGCTATGCTACCTCCTAATTTTCTTCATCTACACCAATAAGAAGAACAGGGTAAGTAATCGAATTCCTTGATTTTTACACGAGAGGGTATCGATATTATTCACGATTCAGTATTTGATCGATGATCAATAATGTTTGAGATTAATAGAAAATTACTGTTTACATCTCTTATTAGGGAATCATAATCCTCTTCCTGCTCGCTGAGTTTCTCCTCCTTGGCATCGTTGCGGTTATCACACTCTTATGCTTCCACACCCACACCAGAAGGTCAATGTTCGTCGGTATCATCTGCGTGGTGTTTGGTATCATTATGTACGGCTCCCCACTTTCCATCCTGGTAACCCTCTCTCTCTCTCTATCTATCTACTCTCTCTCTCTTGTTCAAGAATGTTCGCAAATTCAATTCTTAATAATCCAAGTGAAAAATGCTTTTAATTTGTAATTTAATCCATCAGAGAAGAGTGTTGAAGACCAAAAGCGCCGAGTACTTGCCCGGTTGGCTCTGCCTGGCTGGTTTCACCAACGGCACTGTCTGGTTTGCTTATGCTAATCTCAAATCTTTTGACCCCTACATTGCTGTAAGAACCCTTTCTCCTCAAATTCATTTCCATAATAATAATCATAATTCTAGCTTCTCTTTTCAAGAATTTGTTGTTGTTGGTGTACTGTAGACTGCCAATGGCATTGGCGCTCTCTTGGGCTTCATCCAGCTCTCCGTCCTTGCTTACTACACTTGGATCTACCCCAAATTCCACAAGACCCAAATTGACGTCAAGCCCGGCGCCGCCGCCGCCGCCGCCGAAGTCCAGCTCCAAAACACCGCCGGCAACCGCCCACAAGTTTAATAATTTCTTTATGATTTCTTTCTTTACCATATGCATCTTCTATTTTCAAGATACATTTTCTCTTTTATGAACCATTATTATTCATATCAAATGGCTATGCATACTACAAGCAAGTTATTATTATTATCATCATTATCACGTGAATCTAAATGTTTATTTTTGTAAGGAAACATATTCCAGCCCAATAATTAAAGGCCCGGTCCAAGAATCAAATCAAATCAAAAGTTAAAACACACACCCAACCTCAATCAAAGATATCATCAATCTTATCCACATTGTGAGGTTGACTCGAAACACCAACCCTCGATTCGATTCTATTCTTCAAATACTCAAATCGATCTCATGCCCTGTTTTCTTCTTCACCAGATTTCTCTTATCTTCCCTCCCAACTCCCCCTAAACTCTATTCTCCCTCTCCCAAGCTACATTCTATTTCATTTTTATTTTATTTCATTTTCCAATGTTGTCCATATCCTGTGACTAAAAATCCCTTTCCCCTCCCTCCCAAATCCTCTCCCCAAAATGGCAGTCGTCAGCTGTTGCCACCACCACCACCACCACCCCTTTTCAAAACTTACCCCAATCAAGAAATTCCCAACCCATAAATCCATCATCAATATTTCATCTTCTCCTCACACCTCCACTCACCACCCACCCCCATTGTCCCTCTCACAAAAATCTGCTTCCGATCAACAGGTTTGTTCAAAGTTTCTTGAATTACATATTCGCTGCATATAAGGGAATTTGAAATTGAATATAATGTCTTGATGTTTTTTTTTTTTTTTTTTCCATCAGAGGGATTGGCTTTCCTCCCTCAAGAACAGCACTCTTTCTCTTGCGCTGGCCGTCGGATTACTCACCGGAATTCCTACTTCAGAATATTCCGGCCCGGCAAATGCTGCTGCTGTACCTATTTCCCCAATATTGCCAGATATCTCAGTCTTGATTTCAGGGCCTCCAATTAAGGATCCTGGGGCATTGCTGAGGTATGCTTTGCCTATAGATAACAAAGCTATAAGGGATGTGCAGAAGCCACTTGAGGAAATTTCTGATAGCCTCAAGATTTCTGGTGGGAAAGGCCTTGAATCCGTCGAAAGAGTTAGGACATTTACATTTACATTTACATTTTCATGGCCGAAGATTCAATCTTGATTGTGTGTGTTTTTATTTATCACTATAAATGAGGGTTTGATCATTTCCCCCTTTTCTTTTGTGGTGTAGAATGTCAGGCAGGCTTCCAGGGCTCTCAAGGAAGGAAGAACAGCTATAGTAAAAGGGCTGGCTAAGTCGAAAGTCGACGATGGGGTTGCATTGCTTAACAAGCTTGAAGTAGGAATGGATGAGCTTCAGAAGATCGCCGAGAGCCGCGACCGTGAGGCAGTTGTGCCGAAGCAGAAGGAGCTGCTTAATTATGTTGGAGGGTAAGTTGAGTGTTTTAAGCCTTGTTTTTGCTTAGTTATGATATTTGTTGCTATGCTTTATTGAATTGTTGTATGTGATTTCACTAGAGATTAGTAGTAATCTTCGAATATTGCTGCCATTCAGAACAGATTGTGTAGTTTAGATCAGCTGCATTGGTACGATACTTGTGATATAATCACCACCATTGATTAGGAAAGATTGAGTGTTTTTGCTTAGCATTCATAGTTTTAGGTATTTTTATTCTGAGAAATGGAATCGTGAAAGTATTAAGAATGATATTTTGTGTGTTTTGATTGACTTTTATTGTTTCAGGTATATTTTTTGAATAATATTTTTGTGAAATCGTGTAAGTATAAAACACCCATTGTCTATGGCCTGAACTAGGATTAGAGCTTGTTTATATATTAAGTGAGTTTGGGCTCGGTTCAATGAAAGTTTGAAAATGAGGTACTCGGCTCGGATAACAGGTCTAAGTAGACTAGAGAAAACAGGGGACTCGAAAATTTTGAAAAAAAAAAGAACACATAGCCTTGCTAAAGTATGCTAGTTTTGTCTCATATTTATGCCCTTTGTTGGTGATTGACTGCATGCAGCTGAGATCTTCGTGGGGCATTCGGTTTCTGCAGTGTCGAAGAGGATATGGTGGACGGGTTTCCCTACGAAGTTCCGGAAGAATACAAGAACCTGCCGTTGCTCAAGGGCCGAGCTACGGTGGACATGAAGGTCAAGGTTAAGGACAATCCCAACTTGGAAGAGTGCGTCTTCCGGATTGTTCTGGACGGGTACAATGCCCCCGTCACGGCTGGGAATTTTGTGGATTTAGTACAGAGGCATTTCTACGACGGGATGGAGATCCAGAGAGGCAAGTCGAGGGTGATTTTGGTTGTTTCGGTTTTTAGTTTTATTTATTGGCTCTTACATGTGTTATGTTTCTTGTGCAGCGGACGGTTTTGTTGTCCAAACGGGTGATCCTGAAGGCCCGGCCGAGGGGTTTATCGATCCGAGCACTGAGAAAACTCGGACGATCCCTTTGGAGATTATGGTTGTTGGAGAGAAAGCGCCATTATACGGGGAAACGCTGGAAGTAAGCTGTTCGAGTATCTTGGTTATGTTGTTATGTTAGAAACTCGGTTGTCGGGTAATGACTTTGTTGTTTGGACAGGAGCTTGGCCTGTATAAGGCTCAGACAAAGCTGCCGTTTAATGCATTCGGAACGATGGCCATGGCCCGGGATGTGAGAATCTAAGCTTTTGTTTACTTACTATGTTGTTTCGGATGAATGTTTGATCGAGAGCCTGTTATTTTTGTTGTTGTAGGAATTTGAGGACAACTCGGCATCGAGTCAGGTGTTTTGGCTGTTGAAAGAGAGCGAGCTGACTCCAAGCAACGCAAACATATTGGACGGTCGATATGCAGTTTTCGGTTACGTTACTGAAAACGAAGATTTCTTGGCGGACCTAAAGGTTGGAGACATCGTGGAGTCGATACAAGTTGTAGCAGGTTTGGATAATCTTGTTAATCCGAGCTACAAGATTGCTGCTTAGCTTCGACCGTTGGGTCGGGCTTTCCAATTCTTTGTGTTTCGAGTGACTTTTTAGATGGATATGTTATGTATGAACCGAAGAAAAGCGACGGTACATTTTATTTGATAAATATTTCGAGTTCGCAGACGGGAAAGAGGACGAGCAAAAGGGCAGGGGATGGATTTAAAGATCTAACGATATTGCGGCGCTAACTCTCCATCCTTAACAATGTAATTCTGTGCAGGGAAATCTTCACCTTTGAAGTACCTGCGAAGCATGTCCTCGACTCCGGCTGAGTAGCGCAGCTGGGCGTCGATGGTGGTTCCGGATATGTGAGGGGTCATAGCTTGGTTTGGCATGTATCGCCATGGGTGGTCCTTCGGGGCCGGCTGTGGGTACCAAACATCTCCGCTGTATCCTGACGGTGAGGATTGCTCGGTTTATGCAATTAATTATGTGTTTTTTTGTGAATATTGTGATTGATAGACGATGGGTTACCTGCAATGTGGCCGCTGTTGCAAGCGTCGACGACTGCTTGAGTGTCCATGATCGCGCCTCTGGCGTTGTTCACGATTAGAACTCCTTTCTTCAGTTTCGCGATCTTTTCCTTGTTGAACAAGCCCCTGTAAAATTGAGATTATAGACATGAATCGATTGACGGGAAATTAGGAAGTTTAGTGGTTGGGGGCGTACTTTGTTTTTTCAGTTAGAGGTGTGTTGATGACAATTACGTCACACTTTGGGAGCATTGCGTCGAGATCTTCCTCGTACTTGGCTCCAATTTGGCTCTCCAGCTCGGGGTCGATCTTGAGGCGGTCATGGTAGAGTAGATTGCAGTTGAATGGCTTCAATCTCTGGAGGAGTAGTCGACCAATTCGTCCTGCTCCGACTGTGCCGACTGTCTTGCCTTCGAGGTCGTATGCTCGGTGAGCAATGGCGGCGACATTCCATTCGCCGTTAATGACTTGATGGTAACCAGGCAAGAAGTTCCGGACTAGGATGAGGATCCTCATGAGTTCATCTTCAGCAACTGATACAACATTGCTGCCTGTGACCTCTGCCACTGTTAATCCAGCATCTGCTGCAGCTTTGAGATCGATGTGGTCCGAGCCTATGCCTGCGGTGAGCAATAATTGTAGGTTTTTGGCCTTTTTGATCCTTTCTGCTGTGACGTAGGCCGGGTGGAATGGAGTGGTTATCAGCACATGGAGATCAGGTATGTGTTTCTCAAGCTCTGCAGATGATAATAATAATAATAATTCGAAGAGATGGAGGAATTAATGCTGTTGTGGAGGACTAAGAATGGATAGATTTAGATCATTGGCATTGAATTTGAAATCTTACCACATTCTGGTCCTTCTTTGTCTGGCGTAACGATGTACTGATGACCCTGCGATTCCAGCCATTGACGAATGCCCAAGCTGTTCTCGACACAGCCTAAGAAATTGGGGTTCAGTGAAGCGTATTCATTTGCGTTGTAGAAGACACCGACGATCTTTTTGCTGCCTGGGGAAGCCTGAGGAAATGGAATGTGTGTGATTTCGCAATTTGCTAGTGTCAATCAATCTCATGAATATCCATTTCTACTTTTCCAAAGTCTTTTTGTCGAAATAATCATATCCATTTTTTATGAAATCGAATAGAAATATCTTTGCACTATTGTTTTAACTTTTAAGTTTTGAGTCGATACGTTCTAGAATCACCTGTAAGTTTTGGGCTGGGATAATTGAAATATGAATCTAATCCACTCATTGGATAGAAAAACTAGTCGATCTCCGACGTCCATTAATATACGGCTAAGATGACTCATAGTAATACGACAAAAATGTCGCAGTGCTTTCTAACGCACTTTCTAGAACAGTGAGGAGATTTATGCTTTCTTCGATGAAAATCGTTGTCAAGTGCAATTAAACTGTTGCAGGAAGAAGAAAATCGAGAAATGAACAATTAAAAAAAAAAAAAATTGCGATTCAAGTGAAACCACGCTCACCTCACCCGAGCCAAGTTCATCACAAACAAAAGATCCGTGGCGCAAATCAAGCGGTAAACAATCGAAAGCACAAAGATGAGATCGCCAAATCAATCAAAGGCAGGAAAAAATCCAAAACAAATGAACACTTATACTAACCACAAAAAAAAAAAAAAAAAAAAAAAACGCTTACGTGAAGAGTTCTGGCTTGAACTGGAGAATTCCCCAAGGAAGCAACAGCACGAACAGCGGACGAAGCAGCACGCTTCATTGACATCTGGAATTACTCAACCTTGCGCTAAAAAAAAGAAAAAAAGACAAAACAACGAAGAAATCAACCAAATATTAACACCGGAAAACAAATCAAAGTCAAAAAAAATCGAAATTGGAGAGAACTGCGAACCTTGTGATGGAGAGAGACAAGTGAGTGAGAATCAGCGTGAGTCTGCTGCCTGCTTTTATAGGGAAAAGACGTAACGCAGACGCACCTTCGTGAACTTTACACTAATCCATTTTTGGAACGGTATTATTTTTATTTTTTAATAATAATAAAACAAACAGATATGAGTATTGGAACTTATATACGTATAATACCTTTATTGTGTGTAGGTGGAATTAAAAGTTAATTTCTATACCACTACTATTATTTATTAATAATTATTTTCTAATTATATTATTATGTTTAATATCTATTTCAAGTTTTTGTCTCTATTTTACAACTTTATTTTGGAAATTTGGAGCTGTTATCGATAATATTAATCTCAAAAATATTTATTTTATAGTTCGTTTAGTGTGATTTTTTTGTTGGACCTGATTTGCAGGGTATTAGATTCGAGATTTACTAGTATGCACTTTCGAACAATGAATGTAAATTCTCAAATCATAAAAAAAAAATAAAAAAAAAAAAAAAAAACACTCCAACTCTCATTAATGAGGTGGATCCTACTTATTAAATGAGGCTCACAACTAATAATATAAGTATAAAATATAATTATATTTTAATTTATTTTAACAATAATTTAATTTTTTATTGAATAAAATTTTACTTTATATAAAATAATGCTCACTCAATCTCATTTCATTATGTCTTTTTCTTTTTACACAATTAATTTAAAAATATTGTATATTAAAAAGTTAAACTGTATTTAATTTAATTGATGATATAGTTATAATAGAGCGAAATATATTTATTTACTTAATATTCTAATATTCTTTGAGTAAAATAAATAGTAAATAATTTTGATATAAATTATTATTTGTATTTAGACAAATAACTTATATAATTATTTTTAATAATATTATTTTTTAAAAAAATAAATTATTTATAACAAATAATTATTATTACTTGAAATATACTTTTTTTTTAAAAAAAAAAGTGTTTAATTTTATTTATCCAAAAAAATTTATTATTCACCCATTAATTTTTTCTCTTAAAAATATCAAATCTTATATGATATTTAAAAATAATTTTATACTTCTCTCGTCTCATTGAAAGGCCACTTTCTATTTTTATTCGTGTCATTACAATGTTATTATTTTCTATTTTAATAACTTTTACACAAATATAAAATAACAAATACCTTCATTTTTATATTTTATTACAAAATGTTCCTTCTATATTTTTACACAAATAACAAAATTAAAACAAGTTTAATACCCCATTATTAATATCTACCAACCCATCTAAATATCTAATACCAACCCACCTCACCCGCAATTGTTACTCTCGCAGTCATCTTGGCTTCGATTAGGTTTTGTAACTCTCGCGATTCTCTTCTCCGTCGCCTCCTTCCTTTTCGGCTTTGATTCACCGGTGATGTCGTTTACACTTTGTAGATGTGTTTTCTGAATTGTTTAGCGACTTTTGATGATTTCTCTGAATCAGCCGTCCTAGATGCCTTTTTCGTTCTTGATTTCTCTTGATCTACTATTGTGGACACTAATACCATGGTGCTCCATGGATTCGCCCCTCATTCGGAGTTGGAAGTTGATTCCAGCATTGCCCTTGTTTGAGCCAGGCAATCGCTGTTTCGGATACCTTCTTCGTCGACCCAGGGTAAGATCGAAGCGGCTCCATTGAGTTGCTCTTTTACCCGTGGAGTTTTAATCGATATGCTTTGTATACAAGGCCGTCTAGGACTTTTTCGGGGCCTGAGCAAAAAAAAAAAATTATAGGCCCTATAAATATATGATTAAATGTATACTTAAAATGATATTACCGACGTTGGTTTCAGTTGAATAAGAGGTTGAAGACAGCAATTTGACGGTGTCGATTCGAAAGAAGAAGATAAAAGAACATATTCGATAAATGTTTATATTTGAATTAAAAATAATAAATTTTAATTATATTATGATTACTATTTATTTTGTTTATTTTAACTATATCAACTATTTTAAATTCAAAATATTTTTTAAAAAAAAATATATAACAAAAAAATAAAATTTTAGACTAAAACAGAAATGTACACGGCCGTGTAAAATTATACATGACCCTGTAACAATATGGTTATGTATAATTAATTATACACTGAAATATACATGGTCATGTAACAATATGACCGTGTAGTTTCCAGGTCAGCTGTCATGTCACATCCGTTGTGTCCACGTCAGTAATTTCCGTTAATTTTTTAACAGTGAGACAAAAATTGATTGAAATTATTTATAGTTTGACCAAAATTGATTGAAATTATTTATAATGGGATCAAAATTGATGAGTTTTTTTATATTTGAACCAAAATTGATAAATTTTTGTTATATTAGAACCAAAATTGATGTTTTCCCTAATAATAATAATAATAAATACCAAAAAAAATTGAGTTTGTTTTTTTTCTAAACATTAAATATATTTGTTTAAAAAAATTAATATATTACACACTCATTATTTTTATATTATTTTACATAATTTTCTATAATTTACATTATTATTATTATTATTATTTTTCAAACCTAAACATAAAACAAACAACCCTAAACATCAATTATTCACACGTCGATTCAGGTCAACTAATGTGTTCTAACCGATGGCCATCAAGATATATATATGCTCTTTATGTAATAATAGGATATTAGAATATTGCTTTAATTATTTATTTATTTATTTAATGGATAAGGTAGACTAATAATATTTTCTATTTATTGGATATATTCATTGGCCTATGGGTCCAAATCTAATTCTTGTGTCCAATTATAATTAATACTATGACTCTGAATGTTTATTTTTTTTGTTTTACTCCTGTGTTCGATTTGAGTTTAAATTTATATTTAAATATTTTTTTATGTGATTGATAAAAAGAATAATACATTTTGAGAATTACTAAATTTTTATTTGAAAGAAAGAAAAAAAAAAAAAACAAGAAAAAAAAAACAATTTGCAATTTTTTATTTAAATTTACAATTTAAATAATACTTCAATTAGTAGGATCATGTAACTCGTATCATGTACGAGTGATTATGTAATATAATATTTAAATAAATCAATTATAAATAATAAATCATATTTTATCAATAACGTATGCTGCATATATGCAAATTTTATATATAAAAATAGTCAAAATTAATTTATAAAAAATTGCTATGAACATATTTTTAGTACCTTGATGTTTATATATTGTTACCATTGTCATGACAATATAGGGGTGAAAATACGATAGATCAGACTATACTTTGGCTAAATAAGTCTGATCTGTTCAAACAATATTTGGCTTAATCTTAGCCTATAAACTTGAAAAAAAATAAATTAAGAGGGTGTTTAGAAAACAGCGTTTTGAATAGCTTTTAGTTTATTGAATAGTTTTAGTTGTTTGATCAGTTAAAAAGTTAATTTAGGTGTTTGGTAAATTAGTTTTTTTAAAGAGCTTTTTGGACCCAAAAAACTAATTTCTAAAAAGCTTGTCTACCCAGCGTGTTGAGAGAGCTTTTTTATTTTAATTTTAGTTATTTCTTATTTATCCTTAAAACTTAATTACTCCCTCCGTCCCGCTGCAAGTTTGTCATTGGCTTTTTGCATGTTAATATTTGAATATTAATTATTATATCAAGACGTAGTATAAATCGAGAAAAAAAGACAAGAATATGTTTATTAGTCTCATATAATACCAATACAACGACTTTTTAGAGTAAATTATTCAAATATAAGGATATTTTTAATGTCACGTATAATGACGCAAAAACCAAATGGCAACCTTGCTGCGGGACGAAGAGAGTATTTATTTTATACATATAAATATATTTTTATAGCAGTATTTATTAATTATTTTTAATATATTTAATTTATTAAATTATATTTTTATTTTTGTAAATTTAAAATAATTACTATTATTACTTATTATATATAAATTATTTTATTTATAAAATATATAAATTTTTAAAACTAAATTAAATAGAAAAAACAAAGGTTATTAATTTATTTTTATATATTAAAACAATAATTAACATAATAAAAATATATATGAGAAAAATTTATTATTTTATATTTTACATAATTTTACTAAAAAATTATTATTTTTTAGTAAAAATAATTTTTTCAGATCTAAATAATGAAAATAAAAATAAATATTTTTATAATTTTCAATAATTAATAACAAAAATTCTTATAAATTTCAAATCAAAATGAACAAAATTAAATATTTTAAAAAATAACATATCAGCTATTTGATATTTTTATAAATATATTTTAAAAATAACAAAATTAAATATTTTAATAGTATAAACAGCTAATGTAAAACAGTTGTTCTTTAATACAAACCGCTAATTGAATCGGCTAGTCAAACCAGCTAATTGAATCAGCTAACTGCTAGTAAATCAACTAACAGTTAAAAGTTATCGGCTAATTGTCAACTTTTTAAAAGTTTGACTTACATAATATTTGTATTTATTTATTTGTAAATTTAGTATTAGAAATTTAAAAATAAAATAAAATACATACAATTATGTAATATATATAAGTTAAAAAAATTCTATTTTTTAAATTAATTTATAATTAAAATTATTTAATAAATATTATTATTAGATAGATTTAGAAAATTATTCTTAATATATAATAATGAAAAAAATATTTTTATAAAACAATAATAATAATAATAAATAGGTCGGTATGTTAATTAAAAAATAATAATTTAATTTTAAGTCAATTATATTTAAATAAAAAAAATTTAAAAAAAAAATTTGACCTTATCTTTTTATTAAATAGATCAGACCAAGAATAAACTTTGGATACGCTAGACCGTAAATCCTTGACAGACTGGTCTGCCATATTTCCATCCCATTGATAAAATAAACATTATATTTGTGATTATTTTTCAAATATGAAATCAAATTTTAAAATTAATTATTTCTTTAAAAAAAAAAAGAGTGAAAATAGAACAATTGAATGGAAAAGGAGAAAAAAAAAAAAGGTTCTTTCACTCAACTCAACGCTATTTCTTAATTATAATTCTCAAATAATAATAATAAATAATATAAAGTACTTTTATAAAAGTCAAAAAGTAAAAAAAAAGAGTTTAATTACTAAAAATTTTAAAAAATTAAAATATTCAACTTAAAATATATATTTTATATTTTTGAAACAATTTCTCGTATCATACACCAAAAATTAATTTATTTAAAAACGTTGGGTGAACGAACATTCCACTAAATATTGACAAATATAAGTTTCAATACTAAAACATAAATACTTCCTCCGTCTCATAACTATGTATCCGTTTACTTTTTGCACGGAGTTTTAGAAATATTAGTATTATATTGGGATGTAGTAGAAATAAAGTGTAAATGACTAAAATAACCTTATTAGTATTGTGTGATATAAATGTAATGACATTTGTGTAATATATTGTAAGTTGTAAGAATATTTGTAATGTTAGGTAAATAATACAGTTACTAAAAAAATGAAATGAATATGTCGTTATAAATATATTGTATAATGAAAAATCAATTTATAAAGGTAAAAAATCAATTTATAAAGGTAAAAAATCAATTTTGGTCTCAATATAATTAAAATTTATCAATTTTGTTTCTAATATAAAAAATTCATCAATTTTAGTGTCATTATAAACCATTTTAATCAATTTTGGTTTCATTATAAATAATTTCAATCAATTTTGGTTCAAACATTAAAAATTTAACGGAAATTGCTGACATTGACATAACGGGTGATATGACAGCTGATCTGAAAACTACACAACCATGTACAATTATACACGACAATGTATATTTCAGTGTATAATTATACATTGCCGTGTAACAACATGACCATGTATAATTCTACACGGCCGTATATATTTCTGTTTTGGTTTAAAATTTTATTTTTTTTGTTATTTTTTAAAAAAATATATATTTTGAATTTAGAATAGTTTATATAATTAAAATGAAAAAAAAATTAATAATAATCATAATACAATTAAAATGTATCAATTTTAATTCAAATATAAATATTTATGGAGTATGTTTTTTTTTGGAAGAATTATCTAAAATTCTACTGTTTACTAATTTTTTTTATATATTATACAACTTTTTTTATTTTTATATATTATAATATTAAAAATTAATTTTACATTTCAATATAATTTTAATAATATATTAATATATATATATATTTAATAATCACCGTTGTATTTATATTTCAAAATTTATTGTAAATTTTTTAAAATAATTTAATTTATAATTCTAAAAATATAAAATATAAAATAATTATTTCAAAATAATATTTTAAAAATTTTATTATGTGGAATCCTTCTATAATTCGGTCGATCATAGCCATCCGTTCTGTCATCAACAAGATAAATAAAAATGAAATAACTGTAACCTTGTCTGCTCGTCACTCCGGCGAAGAATCACTCATACTCCTCCCTCCGTTGACACCAATTCGCAGGAACTCGAATTCTGCAAATTATGGAGAGCGAACGAACTAAACGACCCACATCCCTTTCCCCAGATTCGATTTCACATCCACAGAACATAACAGCTCCGGGCGACCACATCTCCCTCTCACCGCCGGAGGGTTCTCCGGGAAAATCACCGGCTGAAAGTTACTCCTCGCTGCATCACTCCAAACACAGCAGCGGCCACATCTCCCTCTCTCCCACTCTGGGTTCGAAGCGAAACTCGCCTGCGCGCTCTTCGGTTGAATCCGATCGGACATCGATCAATCTCAGCCACGGATCCTCGCCGGAGTACGAGGCGCCACGATCGGCCGAGAGGATTCGGCCGGCGGTGGTGAGCAAGGATGTGTTCATGGAACCTAAGGAGAACGTGGTTGTAATAGAGGAGCCTATGGCGGTTGTGAACCGGGTTGTATTGGAGGAGCCCAAGGCGAAGAAGGGGGAGGCTACCAAGGGCTATTCGGGCGGCGGAGAGGCGGAAGTTGGAGGACGGCGAAAGTTTAAACCATCGCTATCGATATTGAGGAGAGCTAAAAGAGAGAAGATGGTGAAACAAGCTGGTTTGGGATTTAGGGTTTTTGGATCCCTCTTTTGCTTAGTTTCGCTTTCAGTGATGGCAGCTAATCGGAACCAAGGCTGGGCTCTCGATTCATTCTACCGTTACAAAGAATTTAGGTAGAACTGTTCAATTCTTCATCTATAAATCTTCAATTTCTTGATGGTTCCAAGTTTAAGATACAATTCCAAATTCTGTTGTGAGCTACTCTGCTATAGCTTTTATAATTTCAAATGGGGATTGGCAGGTATTGTATGTCAGTGAATGTGATCGGATTTGTATACTCTGGAGCTCAGGCTTTTGAATTATCATATAATTTGGCCACCGGAAAGTATGCTGCGCATCAGCATCACCTGCTCCGGCACTACCTCGATTTTGCGTTTGATCAGGCAAGTTCGTCTCTGTTTTCAGGATATTCAAGTGTGTATAAGTTTAGATTCAGTAAATGTTTCATGTTATGGTGAAAGGCACATTTTCTGTTTTCATCCAATTCCCATAATAATGGCTAAGTGACTCTTGATTGCTCGGGATGTGCTATGATGCATCTTTTTGTTATGTTGTCTTTGTTGATTTATTGATCATCAAGAATTTTAATCCAACATTGCAGACAAACCAGAGATCTATTAAGTCATTATTAGATAGTTTGGAAATGCTAGACGATATTTAAGTCTTTAAGACACATCGTGAAAGGCACTTTTAAGTTTTTTGGTCGACATCCGGTATTAATTGCTAAGTGATATGTTGCTATGATGCATCTTTTTTAGAGTGCAATGTTGTTGTCTTAATAATCATCAAGAACTTTGATCCATTATTGCAAGACTCATGAGTCGTCAGTTAAGGCATTAGCGTATTAGATCATTGGAAGATATGTTTGGTAGTGTTTATACCTGACTGGTAAGAATCTTTCATTGATTAATTTCATCTGTTCATGTTGCCTAAAAGAGTTGCAGCGTAATGCATTTCGGGCAATATTTTGATGATTATTTCATCAAGTATTTATCTGCTCTGCTTTGGCACTTTAAAGATTATCAATAGAAAAATCAAAGTAGAGAAGTTTCACTCCCTTTAGATGTAGCCCATAAATATATATATATATATATATTTGTATCTTCTTGCACACACCATGCCTCCCTCTATATCCTTTAGTTATCTTGGAATGGAAATGAGTGGATTTTACTTGTGGTGACAGATAATTGCCTATCTTCTCATATCAGCCTCATCATCAGCCACCATTCGGGTTGAGGACTGGCAATCTAACTGGGGCAACGACAAGTTCCCGGGTATGGCTACCACTTCCGTATCAATTTCTTTCCTTGCTTTTGTGGCCTTTGCAGCAAGCTCTCTTGTATCTGGCTATGTACTCTGCACATCTAAGTCTTTGTAGTTAGGGATCTCTTGAATGCCATTTTGTCTGTGATGCCTATCTATACCTTGTCAACACCTGAGAGCTTCTTCATGGAGTTGTAAAATCTGTATATATATATATATATATATTTGTGTGTGTGCGTGGAGATTGTCTGTAACTGTAAGAAATACAGGTGATACAAGAAATCCATGTTATTAGTTTGGATGAGTGACTAATAAATACTGTGGTAAGTTACATTTTTGTCCCTATAATTGCTCTTCTTTAAAATATATATATATAATATTCCCTTTGTCCACGTGTTTTGTCCATGTTGACGTTTTAGTTCATTCCGCATCTCATGTCTCACTTCTTTTTTGTTAAAGGATTATATATTTTAGTTATCTTAATAGGGGTTATAATGATTTATATTGTATTGTAATTATTTTTATTAATATATTTTTTAATTATTTATTAATTACTTCCTTTGTAAATCAATTACTCCATTTGTTCGTCATATTTAGTTACACTTCATTTGTAATTTACAAATGAAGTGTAACTAAATATAAAGGATAGAGAGAGTATATTCTTTCGAAATTTTCCTATTTACAATGTACCCGCCACTAGAAGTTAAATGGAGGGAGTAATAAAAAATCTTGAGTTCCTATTTTCGGATGGAACTTGTTAGTTAAATTTTGGTCTTTCATTTTTATTTTATTTGATTTTTTTGAATTTTTGTCTCTTGTTATTTACTAATTTTCAATTTTAACCCACACAAGCACATACTTCAATGGGGATTGAACCCGCTTGAGCTAGACTCTCTTCGCTTGTTTATTCATTGTTACTTATTCATTATATGATATCCTAAAGTCTAATTTGGATAGCCCCACGTGCTGTTGGCCCAGACCCAGATGGCCCATCAGACTGTCTGACCCGGCCCATAATCCATGGGCCTGGCATACGGGCCAAATCAGCAGACTTGAATTTTAATTGGATCTGTATATGCATTGAATATGATTTTTTGTACTTAAAAGAAAGTGGGAAAACAATGAGGATTGAGGGACAAAAATTAACATAAACATGCATCTGCTAATCTATGGTGCTCTTCCTTGTTGTAAGTCTTTAATGTGCTAGCCTCAGAAGTCACATACATGCATGTATATATATATTGAAAGATAAAAGAGAGGATACAATGTGGCCGTTATTTTTATCTTATTTTGCATGTTAATTAATTTATATTTGTACTCCATAATTATGTGTTAATCCTTTTGATGTACGAAGAACCATGCCTCAACCTCTTTGTTTGGAGTCTAAACACCAACAATAATAATCAGATCTTGATAGTTCCAACATCTTTTGTGGAGTCATTCTCTCAAGCTCACTTTGTCGCATTGATGCAAAAGTATTCCTGTTTTGTGGGTCTGAAGCCATAGGATGATAGCCTTCAGCTATATGAGCCTGTGAGCGAACTCTCGTGTACAGCCTCAGTGCTGCAACGCAGTCTTCATATGGTTCTTGAATTCCAGTTTGAATGTCATATCTGTATGTGAAGGATATTGATAAGAACATATGAGGATCGTTTAAAGTAAACATCAAGCTTCTATATATAGATATGTTATTGGAATTTTGCTCGGGTTATAAGTTATATAAGAATGAAAGCTACTGACCCTAGGTATGCCTTTGTTAAGTACTTCAGTGAGTTTCTGAGTTTGCTTGTTTTCATCAATGGAGGGTACGTTGCTGTATCTCTGTCAAAGAAATTATAAGTCTAACAAGATAGCTGATGAACTCATTCTATCGACATACATTTGAGATTTTTTTTTTTTTCATGAAAAAACGTACATTGTGACACAGTTTTGTCTGAACCAAACAGCTTACCTGATCAATATGGAAGGATAATCCACTTCCAAGCATTTCAACTCATAATCTAATCCATGGCCAACTAGGATCTGAGCTTTTCCACCTCTTGATCGAATTTGTTGCATTGGTTCACCATTGCATAATAACTCTTGAATCTTTCTCTGAGCTTGCCTAAGTGGCATTGCATCCCTTAGAAATTCTTGCCGAATGCCCGTTGTGTCATACCTAACACATTGAGAAAGTTCAAGTCTATTTGATACTTTCTGATTGATATAACCACACATAGTCTTAGCTGAAACATCATACCTGTAATTTGTGACCGGAATGAGTGGCTTGATGTAAGTTTGAAATATTATCTTTTCATGCTCATCAATGAGGCAGACTCTTGCGCAGAGATCCATGGTGCCATCTGTGCCACCGCCAACCATTTTGCAAGAAAGCGAAACCACTTTGGTCTTGCTATTGTCAGTCCTTAACTCATCTTTAATGCGCAAGCTAGCCATTTGAGATAGAAGTCCCTAAGACAGTCAAAAATAGTTTATACATGCATTGTGTAATGAGGAGAATCTAAAGCATTCTGGTTCAAGTTTTTAAGTGCTTTTTACATTACTTCCGCGAGAATATTGGCATCTCTCCTTATGAACTTGTCGAGCATGGTGGCTATTAAGAATAGTTAAACAAAATCTGCATCCTCTTTCCCTGAATATCCTTTCACATTCAGCCTTTGGCAGTGGCCCTGGTAGAGGAATTCACCATATTTCATGATCTCAAACTTAACTGATGCATTGCGAACAAAACTAATCAAGGTTAACAAATACCTATCAAATGCTCCCTAAGAGACTCGAAGGAGCGACAATGCTTTTGACAAATCCCACATTTAGGTTCGTGATTTGAGTGATACGATATTCTCATATGCTCGACTAGATGTTCCATTTTGTTGAACTGTCTGTAGCATGCTGCACACTTGTTCCTGATCATCAAAATAGTGATATTGTTGTATCGAATGTATCAACTTTGTATTTGGAAATGGCTATCATTTAACTGAATAAAAGTATACCTCAGTGTCTCTGAAGTCTCGCATCTGCTGCCATCCATGATCCACAGATTATAGTCTTACCAAAGTTGAGCCTAACTTCAGAACTTGGGAGAGTTAGAAAGAAATGTAAATCTGTAGGTATTTATACTTGCTGTAGGAATCTCTCTCTCTCTCTCTCTCTCTCTCTCTCTCTCTCTCTCTCTCTCTCTCTCTCTTGCTCATACTTAGGTTTGAAAGATTCCTTACATGATTTTAGGTATCTTGAAAATTTATAAACTAGAATCACCAACTGGTTATTAGTGCTACACATTCATTGCAATCCAAATACTGCAGGGCACATATTTGAGCCAAGAGACTGTTTCTCATGCTTCTTATTATTATTTATATTGAGGTTAGGCATTGAAGAAATCTATAAGTTCTTTGTTTTTGTCAATTTAATATGGGAAACAATTAACAAGATGTCCATGAATATTTATATATGAAGTGCCCAACATTCTTTTTACGGAAATGTTTAAATGCATATCAATCTTGGAGTCATGTTCATGTTTGCAATGAGACTACATATGAGATTGCAGTATTTTATAATTATTTTTTATGTGTATGTGGGGGGAAGGGTTCTTGGAGAAGTGTTGGAATTCTACAATATCAGTATTCTTTCAGCCAGCTGATACCAGGTAAAAGGAGAAATCTAGGATTGAGGAGTTTGACTTGGGAATCTTTTGACTGAAGTAGGGGTCAATACCTTTAGACACCCTTTGGGAAAGACAGCATTTTACTATTCGTATCATCTTCCTTTTTGGAACCTTTTTTAATTAGATGAAGGTAGAGAGAACCTTTGTGCATCCTCAGTCTCGAATCTTTACCTCAATGAAGACTGGGGTCATAATTAATCATAAACATTCGTTTGGTATTTTGATCATTACTAAACTGCATTTTTCATTCTTCAGCTGAAGTGCACATATTGACATGGCTTTCTTTGTTTCAGTTGATTCTATGTGCAATAGTTTCACTCCTATTAAGTTGCATTATTCATCTTCGTGTACACATATCGCAACCTAGTCTCATTGCACTGAATCATGTGAATATTCGAGGAGAAAAGGAGAGACCTGAGGTTCACAAAATGTAAATCTTATTTAGTGTATCTTTTTTGCTCCAACCCCTAAAAAAGAAAATGAAAAGCATATGATTCTTCAGATTTCAAAATGGTCAAAAAGAGAAGCTTCCATTTTTTGGACAACTACATGCACTCGGAGGAACCTAAATTTTTTTGCAAGCTGTCTAATTGCACCATTGTCTGTATATTCCATGGATACAGGGCAGTATTCTTTAGTTACATTCAATATCATAGAGTATATGCTTTAGCAGATATGCTTATGTGAAGATTGAGCATGCATTTATTTTCATTATAATCGATGCTTCTCTACCCTATGGTTGTGTTTGTTTGGGGGATTTTAAAAATATCTACTGTTCTTTGGAAAATTTCCCCCAAAATAATAATCGATGACTCTCTAAGGCGCATACGAATATTTTTTAAGTTTTATTTTTTCTTAATAAATTTTTTGTCCCTACTTCCTTCTACATTATCAATTTAGAAACCTTGCTTGATCTATCTGTCTTGTAGGATCAAGACAGAATTGGCCAGGTAAGCAATCAATGTGGCCATATTTTTAACCTTGTTGCCTTTTCATCATACTACACGCTTTTGATATTTCACCTTCAAGCCATTAGTCAAACCGAATAATTATTTTATCACCATCTGAACGATGACGATGCTCTCAAGTGAATACTAATACAACAGTACATGCTAGCATGAAATCCTTGTCTTTTTACTGTCTGACTGGGGTATTAATATTTACGAGCGCTAGTCCAATGACAAAAATATCGCACTAACTAACGCTAGACACATGTAGTTGCATTGGCGCTTAGCTTGTTGCTATCATATAATATCTTCTGCTGCAAATATAGAAGTTCTCGGCAACTTGTTTCTATATAGAAGCATTAAATAAACCTGCATTTATATCTATATTTATCTTAGTGTGATAACTCAAAATAGTGTAGATCAATTAGCATTCCCTTCACTTTTGCATAGATGAGCTTTTTAAAGCTACACAAAATAAAATAAACAGATTGTTTGAATAAAGACAGACAAGTGTCTCCTTTATTAATGAGAAATAATTTGATTAGCAACCACCTGATTGAGATAGTAGGAATTATCCTGAATAAAATGACAAATAATTAGACGTATCAACAATAATGAAACTTGCCGAAAGTGTAGCCATCATCAGTTTATAATTTGTCTTAACAATAATGAATAGTGAAGCTTGTAGCATCTCTGATTCTCCTATGGTAATTGCTGACATAAACTAGCTACGCGGCTGTTAATTATTTGATAAATCGAGGATTTAGCACACTGTTTTCTTCGATGACTATCTCTTGTATTCTCTGCTTATGGTTCTGATCCTTTAAAACTGATGTTTATTCTACTTTCTGCTGAATATATTAAGCATTTTGGGAAGAGACAGATTGAAACAATAATCAGTGATAGATTCAATCATGGAGCTGTTGTGATGTTAGGAAGATTTTTGTCATGTAATAAGACACACACAGACAAACCATATTATTTTTCATCTTCTTGTTAGTTTAGAGTCAACTAAGCTATTGAACAATATGCGTGTGTTCATATATGTTCATTTGGTGTAAGAATTATTAGAACCCTCACCTACAATATTCTGAGCAACCACCATGCAAGAAGAGGTGGTTTGGGGACACCTTTTGTATGTAAAATTAATAGTACAATGATTCTATTATTGTATTATATTCTGTGTATGGGTGTGATAAGTCCACTTTCTTTTTTTTTTTTTTCTTGTTTGTTTGCCAGTATTTGGTGCCAATGATTAATTAATTCTGTATTTTAAAAGGAAGTAGTATTATATATTCATTGTTATCATTATTGCTGTTGATAATTAACAAAAAGGGTTGGGTTGGGAGCCTTACTTTAGCTTTGGATTTGGATTTGAATTTGAATTTGATTGGTGAACTTTGTGTTCCTAAATTTATGATAAATCTCTACAGGATTAGATCTTGATTTCAGGTGAGAGGAAGTGAGGTGTAAATTTAACTTTATGGATGGATGCCTGCAAATTATTAAAAAGTTTCTTCAGGAATCACTATCACTATTGGTGATAAAAGATGATTGATTTGATTGAGCATCCTTGTGGTGGGAAAAATATAGGTTGTGTTTTTTTAGGTTTGGACTGGCAAGGAATTTTGTTTTTTTTTTTTTTAAAAATATATATATATATATAATGTTCAATAATATTTGATGAGAAATATATTTTTGAAAATGTGTAAATCCAAGTAATAAAAATTAAATATAAACTCTAAAAGAAATATACTCAACATGGGTTCTTTTTATGTCTCGGATCCAATTTTGGTATAATTTATCATAAAATTTTCCTTTTAAAGTATACCATTTTATTATATTATTAATTTATTTTTCATATAAGATATTATATTCAATAATGTAAAATAGTTATTTTTCATTCCAAATGAAAATATTTTTTTATTATTATTATTAAAACTCCTCGGAATTCAAAAAAAAAAAAATTGTAAATATATTAAGCAGGTGTTATAATAATAATTAATTCTTGGGAGTATATGTGTATAAAAAAAATATTGATGGCTTTGCAAACAATCATGGCCTTTGCTTAGTATGAAAATTAGCTATGCTTCTTTCCTTTCCCATATTCACTTGACATTGACCTTGCTTAATATTGTGTCAATCAAGATAATACAAAATAATTTAACTTCAATTAATATACACACATGTTCGAATCAGTATTGCAAATCCAAATTTAAATATGTTTAAATCAATATGATTTAATTGATTTTTACATGTCCCTCTTATTGTAGTTTCACCCAAATTTCTTAATTAATATATATATATTTTTTCCTCTAAATTAAGAACTGCAGATCTTCTTGCTCAAGGTTTCAAATGTTTTGGTACTATTAATTATGAAATTAAATACCTTTTAAAAAGACTAGTATAAAAATAAATTTAAAATTTAAAATATTATATTAAAAAATTAAATTAAAGAGAGACTATAGAAAGTAAAATGCAGAATAAATGTAGAAAGAAAATTGTTTTGGTACTATTAATTATGAAATTAAATATCTTTAAAGTTTTGGTCTCAATTCCAACCTTTAAACAAACAAACAAGTCAAAATTATAGAATAATAGGAGTAGTATCTATCATTTTCTTGATGAAAATGGACAATTGAAGAATAAATAAAAATTATAGAAAGAACATAGGTTCTATCTCTTTAAATTGAACAAGATATTCACCTGAATGTATGTAATTTTTTATTTAATATATTGCTAAAAAAGAAAAAAGAAATTCTCATTCAAAATATAATATGAAATACTATTATAGTTCGAATTTTTACCATCTACATTGTGGCCACTTACTAGTATGTAATCCAGAAAAATAAGGAACAATTATTAATTAAATTTAGGTTGCGAACGGGGATGGTCCTGGACCTGGACCTGGACTATAAGAAGGCCGGGCCCTTGCAAGATCGGAAGCCCTGGCTGCCATGGCTTCAATGGCGCGCGATGATGTTCGTTCAAGTGGACTGTCTCTGTCCGCCATACTTTGATGGTCTAGCAAATAGCCAAATAGCTATAAACCATCAGATCACAACACAGCACAGCAGGCGTATGATTATGAAGAAGAAGAAGTGAAGAAGGTTTTGGGGGCGGTTGCTATGGCGGAAGATCACAAGTCGTCCTCATGCTTCAACATTCTAACTTCTCTGCCCCCCACCTACACTTAACTCAACACTATCCATTCGTTCATTCGTCTACCTACGTCTACGTTTGTCATTTCTCGAATCCTTCAAATAATTTGATTCTCAGCCATTCCTTTACTTTTTTTTCTATATTTGATTCGATTCCACTCGAACCTCCAATAGATTAATCATCCGATCGATTCTGCTCCTCCTACCCCAAACCTACGCCTACCCCTACCCCTACCCCTCCCCCTCCCTTCCTCTTTCTGTCTTTTCTGCCAATTTCACCTCTGCCATTTCTCTGCATATACATATATATATATATATATATATTTAGGCGTGTCGGAGCATTTGAATAAGGAAATTCGAGGGCGGGGACCTGGCCGGAGATATTAAAGCATTCCTCGTGAAAGCGAAGGCTCTCAGAGCCAATTTGAGGTATGATCTTTTGTTTTTGCCGTTCCTTGTTCTGTAACTTTGAAACGATTTTGTGCGTCGCCGTTTTGAATGAGGCGGAGATTTTTCAATGTGGCTATGGTTATTGTATAAGAAATTTGGTGTTCGTCTTGCAATAGGTTTGTTTAGAGTTTCGTTCGTTCGTTCGTTCGTTCGAGTTTGTTTCCTGCAATGGCGATTATGTTGTTTTGTTCTCTTTCGTTTCCAAATGCAATTTCGTAAGGTTTTTCCATGTCCAGGCAATAGCAAGAGCACATCCAATTCCAAGGCTGTGTTGAGTTGATTCTAACCTTGAATTCCGATGCCTGAATTCATCATGGATGGATCCAAATCCAAATCCAATGGTGAGATTTTTTCCAAGGATCATGAACAACAGCATTACATCTTCTCCGATAGGTCTCCTAGAAGTCCATTGAGCACACACAGCGCACCTCCTTTGAGCACCGAGGCCAACTCTCTCGATCTAGCCATTGATGGAGCAGTCGACACCTCAATCGACCAGCTGTACAACAACATATGTGAGATGCAGAGCTCCGATCAGTCTCAATCCAGGCGCAGCTTTCTGTCCTATGGCGAAGAGTCGCGCATCGATTCTGAACTAAGGTTCCTTGTTGGAGGAGATTACGATAATCTAATGGAGGTTAAGAAGGAAGTTGTCTCTGAGCATGGCAATGGAGAAGATAACCACAAACTTGAATATGCCAGTGATGTTGTTGTTAATCCTTCAAGCAATAAGTCCATGTCCCCGGCGCAGGCGAGAAAGTTTTCTACGAGTTTGAAAAGCAAAACATTCGGCGGGAGGCCACCAAATGGAAAGCAAACCATCAAGGGTACGAAGAAGCTGAACACCATTTCCTCAATGAAGATTGAGAAAAGTCCTCCACTTGCAGGTGCTAAAATGCAGAATGGAGGGGATGACAATCACGGCGAAACAGGGTATCTCGGGCCGTATCTACTGAAGCAGGCGAGGGACATAATAGTGTCGGGGGATAACTATCAGAAGGCTCTCGAACTGGCTCTCCGGGCAATGAAATCCTTCGAGGTTTCCTCAAGTGAAAAGTCGAGTTTAGATTACGTTATGTGTCTGCACATTGTGGCCGCGCTTTACAGCCGTTTAGGGCGATACGCCGACGCCATCCCCATTTTGGAAAGATCGATCGATATTCCAGTGATGGATTTGGGCCACAATCACGCTCTTGCAAAGTTTGCAGGTTGCATGCAGTTGGGGGATACATATGCGATGCTCGGGCAGATCGAGAATTCGTTGCTGTTCTACACTGCGGGTTTGGAGATCCAGCGACAAGTGTTGGGAGAAAACGATCCTCGATTTGGCGAAACTTGCAGATATTTGGCTGAAACTCATGTTCAAGCAATACAGTTTGATGAAGCAGAGAAGCTCTGTTTAATGGCTCTTGATATCCATAAAAAGAACGGCATGTCGGCTTCTCCCGAGGAAGCTGCAGACCGAAGACTTCTCGGGCTGATCTGTGATTCGAAAGGGGAATATGAGAGGGCGCTCGAGCATTATGTTCTCGCCAGCATGGCAATGGCTGCCAACGGGCAGAACGAAGATGTCGCCGCCATAGACTGCAACATTGGCGACGCGTATTTATCCTTGGCACGCTACGACGAGGCGATTTTCGCGTATCAGAAAGCTCTAAACATGTTTAAGTCGTGCAAAGGAGAGAATCATCCCTCGGTTGCTTCGGTTTACGTTCGATTGGCGGATTTGTACAACAAGATAGGGAAGTTCAGCGAGTCGAAATCCTACTGTGAAAACGCTCTTCGAATTTACAACAAGCCGAGCCCCGGAAGCCTTCCAGAGGAGATTGCTAGTGGGTTGGTCGATATTTCAGCTATATACGAGTCGATGAATGACCCGGACCACGCGTTGCAGATGCTTCAAAAGGCGGTAAAAGTGTATGGCAATGCACCAGGACAAGTGAGCATAATTGCAGGGATTGAGGCTCAAATGGGAGTCTTGCACTACATTTTGGGAGATTATTCGGAGTCTTATAAGTCTCTGAAGAATGCGACAACGAGGTTTAGATCGACGGGAGAGAAGAAATCGGCTCTTTTCGGGATTGCCCTTAATCAGATGGGGCTTTCTTGTGTGCAGCTGTTGATGATAAATGAGGCTGCTGATCTGTTTGAAGAAGCAAGAACCATTCTTGAGGGCGAATGTGGACCATACCATGCAGATACATTAGGGGTTTACAGCAATCTTGCAGGAACATATGATGCAATGGGCAGGTCAGTGTTTTGGTGTTTTTGCTGTTATAAGTTCGATTGAGTTTGTGATGATCATCATACATATTATATAGCGAGTGTGAATATGCAGGACTGGTGATGCAGTGGAGATATTGGAATATGTAGTGGAGATGAGGGAGGAGAAGTTGGGAACTGCAAATCCAGAGGTGGAAGATGAGAAGAGGAGGCTGAGTGTGCTGTTGAAGGAGACAGGAATGGTGAGGACAAGAAAATCAAGGTCATTGGAGAAGCTGCTTGTCAATAATAATAATCATAATCATGACAAGTTTAGGACTTATGTTGATGATGAGGTTGAGGAGTAGGGTTCTTGAATATACATACCATATTATTTTACTTATTTGTTCTTATTATTCTTTTTGTGATTTTCTTTTGACTAGTTTGTTGGATTGGTTGTGGTTTTGTTTTCTATGGAAAGAGATTATTAATAATAAGGTGGAGAGAGAGAGAGAGAAGAGTGGGTAATTAGGCAATTCATCATATGTATGCACATAATGTGTAAAGTGAGGAATTTGAATGAGCTTTGGGTGGGTGTCAAGTGTCAATTGTGTGTGTTGTGTTGTATTGTGATGTGATGTTCCTTTGTCAACTACTATTGTGTTTTTTTTTTTTTGTTGTGTACAATGTTAATGTAATGTAATGTGGCAGTGTTTTTCATTTAGTTTATTGAAGGGGAAGATGAAATTTCTTTTTTTTTTTTTTTTTTTTTTTTTTACGACGTGGAAAGCCGTAGTCGCTACCGAAAGTGCACACTGGACAAACCCCCGGATAAATCTAATACTCTGTAGATTAGGCTCGGCGAAAAAGTCGCATTAGGACCATGTGTGGCAGGTGACCTCCCGGATGAATCTAATACTCTGTAAATTAGGCCAAACGAAAAAGTCACATTAGGACCATGTGTGGCCGGTGACCTAAGGCGTCGGAGCTTTGAACCCATAACCTCATGGTCAAGGCCGTCCCTGGCCCGGACGAAAGGAGCGACCGCTCAGGCCCAAGCTAAATTAGGACCCATTATTTATTTATGTTATATATAAATTATTTATATACAAATATTATTTGACATTAGTGTATTGGTATAAAAGCATGGCTTTATGGTTAAGTTTTTTTATAGGTTCAAATCCAAGTACCTTCAAAATTTAAAAATATTTTTTTATGCATTAAAAAGAATTAGACAAAGTTAATATTAATAGTATTATTGATATTTTGCATATAAAAATATTATGAAATTTATTTTATTTAATTATTTATATTTTATTATAGATAAAAAATATATTATTTATACGGCCCTAATTTTTGTTTTAAGATTGTTAATATTAATACTATTATTGATATTTTATCTAAAAATTCTAAAAAAATTATTTTATTTAATAATTTATATTCTATTATAGGTAAAAAAAAAATCGGAGTAGATCATTTATATATATTTAAGGGTTTTTTATTTTTGTTTTAATTTATTTTTTTTGCACTAAAAAGATAATAAATATTAAATAAAATTATTATTATTATTATTAGACAAAATTATCAATAACGCCTTTATAATTTCGAAATTCAGTGTAAATCCTCTATATACTTTAAAAATGGCATGAACCCTCATACTCTATATTTTTTTGGTGTTGAGAAGATGACTTTTCATCTATATTTTTTGTACGGCGGAGTTTCATATAGCGTTTGTTAAAATATAAGGGAGTCTTACGTAATTTTTGAAATTTATGCTAGAAAAAATATTTTTTAAATTTATATTTTATTATAGGTAAAAAATATTATATATATATATATTTAAGGGCCCCTAATTTTTATTTCGTCCCGGGCCCTTCGAAAGTTAGAAACGACCCTGCTCACAGTCACAAGTTCAACCCCTGCACCACCGGCATTGCGGGACGTCTTTTTCCTTTGTTGTTGGAACGACCCTTTTGATTATAATAATTCATGTTTTACAGAGGTTATACTATATGGGTTTGGAATGGAATTATATATACACTGATGTCATGTGATGGGACACTGGGCTTGTAATTAAATTGGAAATGCTTCGTATTAATATCCACTATGTCGTCTAAGCATATGCTTTTTCTTTTAATATATATATTTTATTGAAAAATGGAAATATTAATTATTACACCTAATTTAAAAAGTGCAAGCATAATTTTCCATGATATATAAGATTTTATATTAGGTGATGGTGTGTAAAAATGAAATAACATTGAGTTGCTTTGAATGATTTTTTTTTTTTTTTAATTGAAAAATAGTTTCACTTTTAAATTATACATTGAGAGAACAAAACACAAACAAAAGCACATTTTTCCCTTTTTCGAAAATCTACTTTAAAATAATCCAAATTTTTTCCAAAACTAGCCAGATAATATACTTTAAAATAATCCAATTTTTTCCAAAACTAGCCAGTTTTTATTAGCCCAACTAAAAAAATACTTAAAATTTTACATCCAATTAACAACTACTTTCTATTGCAAGAGAATCGTAATTTAAAAATACGAAAAAAAAATAATTTAAAACTAGCCAGATTTAAGTATTGTGTAAACTAATCTAACTACAGAGCTTAGCCTATAAAAATTATCCAGCCCAATTAAATGGGCCTCAATCCTTTTAAGTAATGCACTGATAAAGCCCTATATAAAAGGGTGTATTTGTTTGAGGTTCGAATTTTGAGTTGGAATTTAAATAGTAAAAGTTTTGAATTTGAATAGTTGTATGATGTGATATAAATAGGTATTGATGTGATATTTTGAATGTAAAATTGATTTTTAGTATAATATAAAAAATAAAAAATAAGTGTTTGATTTGATATTTTTGAGAATAAAAAATAGGATGAATATTGTAAATCTAATCCAATCACCCAAACAAACACAACCCAAATTGGCGCAAGTTGATCATATGAATATATAATATTTTCCATAGAAGACAACGCGCCACGGCCTCTACAGTATTAAATATTCAAATGAACTCTATTTATATAATTTTTTATGTTATTTATTACAAATATAATTGAAGGTATTATAGTAATTAAAAGTAAAAGATAAAAAAAAAAAAAAAACTTCGAAATATTCATTGTAAAAAAAAAAAAAATCATTATAAAAATTTAAAAATCAAATATTAAATTTAAAATAATATAGTTTATATTTTTTACACAAATTCTCTATACCACAAAAAAAAAAAATTCATTTCATCTAAAAAAAAATTGGGTGAATAGAGCCGATGTAACAAAATTATTAATATTTATTATAAATAAATATTGAATTGAGAATAATAATTAAATATTAATATTATTTTTAATTTTCTAATTATAATAATAAAATACATTTGACTAAACAAAGGTACAAATAAATTTGATGGACAAAAGATATAATTATTTATTTAAATTTTTACTATTAAAAAAATAAAAAATTTTAAAATTTTAAAAAATCTTTACAGAGCTTAACTTTGCACTACAGCAATCTCTCGCTCACTACAAATTTGGCATGCTTTGTAATGCTATGTAGTGTATTGTCGTGATCCAACGCCACACCACATGCATAAATAATCCTACTATCGTATCACTTTAGTAGCTCAACCCTCAAAAGTAAATACACATTCGTAGCTAGAGCTAGCAATTAGTCGATTCGTGTATGGTTGAATACTTTAAACGGGTTAAATTACATAACTCTAACCCGATCCGTTTATGATCATATCGAGTTCGTGTTAACCCGTTTATTATCGTGTCGGATTCGGGTTGACTCATGTTGACCCGTATACATAATTAAGTCGAATTTCTTGATTCAAATTAAATAATTTTTTGTTATGGTGTTGTGTTATGTTGGTTTTTATTGATTTGAGCGTAAATTAGGTTGAATTATTTAAAATTGAACTTAGTTTAAATTAATTTATGAGAAAATTATTAAATTATGATTATTTTACATATATAATAAATATATTAATCAATATTAATATATTATAATCGGGTTGTCGTGTTGGGTTCGAGTTGAGAGCCTCAACCCTAACCCGACCAGTTTACTATGGTGTCGTGTTCGTGTCAACCCGTATACATAATCGGATTAAAATATTTGACCAAAACCCAATTATTTCGTATCGAATTGTTGTATCGGATCAGTTTTTGTCAACTCTTTTCACAGCAATTCTTACGTAACAAAATCAGTGACAATATTCAACAAAATCATGCTTGCTTCACCATGAGATTTTACGATCACCTTCAAAATTTGAGTTTAATTTATAATATCATCATCATCATATGGCAACTAAATATTACTGTATTTCACATTTTTGCCCATTTTCAACCGTTTTCACACACATATAGTGAACTGGAAATTAAAATTAAAATTAACAGCAGTAATTATTATAGAGGATTGAATGCGTGACAGGGTACATACCTGGAAGTGTTTTAAAAGCGCGGGAAACCTTTAGCGTTGGCGGAAAAACCCTACGATGTCTCGCCGGTACGGTAGGTACGATTTCTTCTTATCTTCATCCTTCGTCGCTCTGTTTCGTATATACAACACTTCATGCGCCGATGCGGCGGCGGCGGCGGCGTTCGTCCCCTTCGTTTTTTCTAAGGCTTCGATTTGTAGTGATTTTTCTCTGCGGAGTTTTGGAGTCAGAATCGCGAAACCGTCTTTCCCCTCACTGTTGCTTCTTCGAAGAAAATCGCAAATATTCCACCGCCTCAACACCGATCCGGTGGAATTGCTGTTTTTACATCTGCTAGAAGGCGGTTTGTCAGCTGCTTTCGGCTGCAAAACTCTGTACGTCGCACCTGGTGACGTATTCTCCAGATAGTCGGCGTCGTCGGACGAAGAAGGCGATTGAGGATTATCTCCTTCGCAGCTGTGAAGCTCGCGATCTTCCATAAGGAGTTTCCGCAATGGAACCGTAATGTTCGGATCGAGTCGCTTGTTACTGCTGAATCCTCCGTCGTCTTTCCGCGACGGATCACGGTTGAAAACTGGAAAAACAGATCCAATTCGGCCTTCATAGAAGGATTCCGCGGATAAAACATCCTTGTCATCTTCCCGCACTAACGCAAACTCGAAATCATCGCCATCGTCGCCTCCGCGGTTTGATTCCTCCTCCTCCGCCGCCACTTTGGTGGCTACTTCCGCTAATCGGTTGGATGAGTAACTGCTGAAGCTGGGGCACTTGTCTTCATCTCCTTCACAGTTCTCCATTGTTTCACCTCACTCTCCTTCTGCAATCTCTGCTTCAATGTGTGTATATATATATATATATATATGTAGACTACAGTAGCGAATTGAGACTTGAGAAGCAAATAAACAGAGGAATTGAACGGTAGAGATGATGAGGGGCAGGGATGGGTAGATTCGTCTTTTCCCTCGTGGCCTCTAAATTCCAATTAAAATTATAATATAGAAAATTCTGACCATAATAATTTATGAAAAGAAATTTGTTAGTTGGAAATTTTCTTCATAAATTGATAAACAAATATTTCTGACATGTACCCTCTGCCAAACTTGAGATTTTATTTCCATTAATTACTGAATTTTTTTTTTTTACATTTTTTGTATTTAATATTCACTTAGTATTTGACTTGAGCTAATTTACAATTAATAATTAATTATATTAGTATCTGATTATATATTTAATTAAGATTAAACTTCACAAAACATATAATAATTCGTGAGGAATGGATGACTTCACCAACACGATTGATATCTGCTAACCAATTTAACATTTAAAACAATTTTCAGGTTTTCTCTACAATAATTTTTTATTTAAATAAAATATATCTACACCCAAAAAAAAATTCTCGAATGCGTGCAATGTCTTAGCAACGTGTAAGAATATTACTGATACATTAGTCGGGACAGAACCTCAAGCCAAATTTTTTATGATTTTTTTAATATTAAAAATATTAATTTTTATGTATTTATATATAATTTCTATGGTGTAAATTATTTAAATTTATATATAATTATGTTATTATTATTTATTTAAATTTATTAGCTAAATATTAAGCCCTCCATCCCATTTCAAATTATTATTTTTTTTTACCATTTTGTCCGTCCTATTTTAAAATATGTTTTTTCTATTTTTAAAAAATAGACATACACTAATATTTAAATAAATTTAATTTTTACTTAAATTACACATATATCATTATATAATATAATTACTTTATAGACAAAGTCAACGACAAAAATATTAAAATTTCTTATTCACTTTCACTGACCAATAAAATATAAATGTGTTTACTTGTCAGGTTTTACACCTGACTTTACTATTCCAATTTTTTTTTCTTTAACAAATATCAAATAAAACACTCAATTTTTTATTTATTTTATTACACTAAAATATAATTTTATATTCAAAACATCACATCACCACATATTTATATTACATCAAACAACTATTTCAATTCAAAATTTTACTATTTAAAATCAAATTTCAAAACTAAAACATCACAAGTAAAGACTCTTAGTCTACTATGAAATCCAAAATTATCCATTTGAAATGAATAGGAAGGAGTATATAAATTATAAAAATATTATTGTACATATAATTAATTTATACGTAAAGTCCAAATATAAAAATATTATAATTATTTTACGTACTTTCATTAACTAATACTTCATCCGTCCCAACTATTGTGTCCACGTTAACGTAGACACGGACGGAAATTTAGAATTATATAATTAGTAAATAATTAATAATATATTAGTAAAAATAATTATTATATAATAGAAATAATTATAAATTAAAATTAAAATAACTAATTAAAATTTTTAAAAATATATAAATTAAAAAATCTAAAATGATTAAATTGTATAATTTTGAGACGGAGGGAATAGTAAATATTTGAATTGAAATGGAGTGAATATAATACTGTAATTCTTGTTTATTCTTTTCATAGTTGTCAGTTAACTATATTTATTATTAATTTTGATAAAATGATAAAAATTTTGTTGTATTTTTTGTGAATTTCTTACAAATTTTTTACTATTATTATAATTATTTTTTTTACCCAAAAAAATATAAGATTTGATTATTTCTTAAATTTTATCATTTGAACTATATAATAAATTAGAAAATAATATTTTATTTGTCTCACTTTAAGGTATAATTGTGATGTTTTACAGTAGTAAATTAAGAAATAATACTTCTTTCATCTCATAACAAATGATATCATTTTCATTATAGATTGTCCATAACAAATAACATCTTTCTATATTTGGTAGAACCTTATTGATTTAAAATATACTTAATAAATATAAATCATTTTTATTAATAATATATAATAACATACATCATATAGAACCAATTCAAAACTCCTTTATTTATACTCCCTTCGTTCTTTATCTATTTATCCGTTTGTTTTTTGTACGGAGTTCTATGAATATTAATATTATATTGGGATATAGTATGAATAAAATAAAATAAATTAAAAAAAACTTGATTAGTATTGTGTGATATAAATGTAATGATATTTGTGTAATATATTATAAGTTGTAAGAATATTTTTAATGTTAATAGAAAATACAGTTACTATATATAAAAATAATAATAATTTTTTATGAGACGAACCAAAATAGAAAAATGGATAGATTGTTAAAAACGAATGGAGTATTTTTTTTTCAATAAACAATATTTATATTTATATTTAAAACTCTTCATATTTTTATAAAAGTAGTTCATATTAATCATAAGTATATAAATATTTTATTTATTTATTTGTATTATATAAAATTTTATTATGATATCTATATTTCTTATATTTTTATTGAGATGTAATTTTAAAAATATTTAAATACATATTCTAATTTTTTTAATCATATATTAAATATTATTTTAAAACTATTAATGCACCCATTATAAAAATAATAATAAAATAATACGATAACTTACTAATATTAACTAACTGAATATCATCAAATTAAATATTGTATCCCTGATCAAATGTATCATTTCTTATGATACAGAGGGAGTAATATTTTATTAGTTGTAGAAGCATGTAACAAGTTTTGATATTTTTTCACTTTAACTTATGTATAAAATAATTGTATATATGATAATATTTTTATAGTTTATGTAAAAATTAAAGATTTTTTTGTATTAATGTATGATTACTTTATTAAAGCAAAAAAAAAAAAATAATACTTTTGAATGAGACATACGAAAATAGTAAAAAATTTTACTTTAAGTTGGTTGATATTGGACATATGTAAAATAATTTTGACATTTTGTACTTTATATATAAATCAATTGTATGCATAACAATATATTTATAATTTATATAAAAATTTAAAATAATTTATTTAGATATCTTTTAGCGAGAGGGATCAAAACTGTAAAAAATTACTTTCACTTGCAATGGAGAAATACTAAAATGATATTACATTAAACTATTATTTAAATAGAATTTTAAAAATAACCCTTAATCTCAAATCAATTTAAAAACATAATAAAAAAATCCTATATTTATAGATAGAGAAAGTATTTTTTTCATCTCAATTCAAAATATCATTTATATTATATTTGTATCTCATTCAAAGATATTTATTTTTTGTTTTAGTAATAATAATTATATATTAACACAAAAATATTTTTAACTTTTATCAAAATTATAAATATATTATTATACATATAATTAATTTATATATAAAATTAAAAGACAAAAATATCATAACTTCTTATATATTTTCATTAATCATTAAAATATTATTATTTTTAATTTATTATAGAACCATAAAAGAGTAATTTGGAATGAAGTTTAGAGAGTATTTAACTAAATACTTATATTTTAAGTATACATATCTGTAGCCCACGTTCTCCGCGAATGGGCTTATTTCAAGGATTGGGCGATGGGCCCATTTCAATTGAACATATAGGCCTTAAGGCCCAATTAAGAATATTCATAAGAAATATATAAATTTTAATTTCTAAAATGAAAAGAAAAATATGAAAATGATAATAATAATAATGAAAGCATAATAATAATAATAATAATAATGAAAGCATTGTAAAACCACCTCAATTAATTTCATGAAATTGTATGTCACGTTGTTGGTTGACCCAGACCAGAATTGGGCAATCTATACCATCACGGATGTGTCCTTACGAACGGTCCAGATTAGGTGTGGCAACATTCGACGGCCTAGATTAAACGGCATAATAGGCCCCACTTATTAGCTGTACCCTCGCCCTTCCACCCAACTGTATTGTTCCCAAATTTCTCCATTAAAATGGAATATTATAAAAACACAGCTGGGGAGAGGAATTAATTAATAAATAATTCTACAGTCATATTATTAGTACTACTTATTTATAAATATATTTCATTAATATTTATTTAATTTTTACGATTTATATTTATTTTAGGACATCATTAAATTCGAGATAGTCCATTGTTGAAGAGCTGAATGTTACAGAGGTAGTCAGTCTACGGCGTACGAAAGCAGATTTATAGTTTGATACGACGTCGTATTGTCGTCGTTCTTCTCTTCTCTTATAATAGTCAGATTCTGTGTACGGTCTACTTTGTGGTTGGGGACACTTCCTGCAACAAAAAACCCTAGAGAGGTAACACTGTATTGCTTGTGAATTGATGGATTGATTGTTGGTTCTGTAATTGTTTTGATCTTTTGATGGTTATTTGCACTTTGCTGGGGTTGGTGATGGCTACTTTTTCTGTTTTTCCTCCAAAGTTGGTCGTGTTGCTTAGGAAGTTGCGTAGATTTGGCATTTCTGACTTGGTGCTTTCGGATGGTGTACCGTGTAGTTGTTTGTTTGAATTATTTAGTTCGTATAGATGCATTATTGTGTTGGAGTAGTATTTGGTGGATTTGGTGAGAGAAGCTTTGAGTTTAGAAGTTGAGTTAAGTTGTGCGGTTCTAAATTCAGCGCAATTCTGTGTGAAATCTTGAACTTTGGGGTGTTATATGACCTCATTGCTCCTATTCTGTTATCTGGATTTGGTGAGAGAAGCTTGAGTTTAGAAGTTGAGTTAAGTTTTGCTGTTCTAAATTTGGAGCAATTCTACATAAAGCCTTGTGTTTTAGTTTCTGAGGTTCTGTGACCTCATTGTTCCTGTTCTGATATTGGAGTATGAGGATGGAGAGAGCAAATCTGCAACCAAGTAATGGCGTCATGATCAATTTGATTAATTCATGGCTGTTTTTCACTTGTTTGGTTATATTGCTACACAATGAAAATGATCTGATCTGCATTTTCCTTTTTTAATTTTCTCGTGTTTCTCATTGTGCAGATCAATTGTCCATGGACTTTGGCCTAACAGGCTAATTTATTGCATTGCATTATGCATCTGCAGTTTACATGACAAACTTTGAAGTATGAAGCAAGGGTGATTAACCTCTGCCCTACATAAGGATTTGATAATTTGCTGTGGCTCTGGTGGATTGGATTTGCTTGAACTTTAATAATTTTTCCCCCTTTCTACATATATTCAGTTGAAAATGTTTTGGTTTTGAGGTCATCGCTGATCACTGTTTAGTTATTGGAATAGGCAAAAAATTCCTGGGGCATCCCTCTCTTTTTTTATAGCCAGTTGATTTGCTGGGATATCAAGGTGGGAAGAGTTACGCTGTACACGTCAAGATCATGCTACAGGCTTCAGAGAAAAAATTTCCCCTTAATGCTGACGATTATAAGTTGTACGAGGAAGTTGGGGAGGGTGTCAGTGCTACTGTTTATAGAGCTCTTTGTGTTCCACTTAATGAGACAGTTGCAATTAAGGTTCTTGATCTTGAGAAGTGCAACAATGACTTGGTATGCCATCTATTCTGATCCTGTTACATTTGTTACATTTAAAAATTATGACCTCTTAGTAGACTTTTAGGTTATTGCTCTTGATCAAGGGCAACCTTACTCTTCTGCTCTTCCTTCCCGCCTTCCATATTATATATGATTTGCATTATCTGGTTTTTAGTCGTCATACTTACCTTAAATATGATACTCTCTGTGATTCTGCTGCCCCATATAGCCATGTTAATTCCAGAAATATATGTCTGCATTAGCAAAATCTACTTTGGCCATAATTTCATTGATTGGTTGTAAAAAGTTGGGGATAATACACTCTGCATATTGTATATGTATATGTTTGGAGGAATTCATTAACATCCTGAATGGAATGAGATTTCTAATGATGTCTGATTGAGTGGAACTAAGTGCACTGTTCGAAGAACTTGTTTGCAGCATCAATACAGACAGATATCTACATCATGTGCACATGCGATCGGTAGTGTTGTGTTTGCATGCATGAGTGTACTAAGGTGTCAATATGTGCAAGGGAGACTTAAGTTTTTCCTATTGTGAGATATTTTACAATTAGCTAGACATATTCCTGTCTTTCTGATTCTTCTATTAGTCTTATGGATTTGGATTTATAATTAATAGGATGGTATTCGGCGAGAGGTACAGACGATGATTTTGATTGACCATCCAAATCTCTTACGAGCGCATTGCTCCTTCACCACTGGTCAATACCTATGGGTTGTGATGCCATACATGTCTGGGGGATCTTGCCTTCATATCATGAAATCAGATTATCCAGAAGGTTTTGACGAGCCTGTTATTGCTACAACCTTACGCGAGGTACTCAAAGCTCTTGTGTATCTTCATGCCCATGGACATATTCACAGAGATGTGAAGGTATGAATGCCTGTCTTTGTTTTCTTACATATTGCTTGGCTTTGTAATGTTGTCTATAATTGATATCTTTCTCTCCAGTCCATACTTTTACGGTTTTACCCCTCCCTGCTTTTACTGTTGGGAATACCCCATTGCCGTTTTTAAACTACTTTCTTTGTTTTCAATCCTGCAGGCTGGGAACATATTGATTGACTCGAATGGTGCTGTTAAATTAGCAGACTTTGGAGTTTCTGCATGCATGTTTGATACTGGTGATCGTCAGCGGTCAAGAAATACGTTTGTTGGAACCCCATGCTGGTAAATATTTTTGCATTAATGGAATTTTTGGTGATTGTTAGATACATCAAATTTCTAAGAGGGATTATTTCTTTTATCATGAAATATCTTGTGCTCTTCAATTTATACATTGCATCAGGATGGCTCCTGAAGTCATGCAGCAATTGCATGGATATGATTTCAAGTGAGCATCTGCAGAATCATATAATTCAATTCATTTATTGATTATCTAGTTATGTCTTTATTATTCTTATACAATATATTTATGTTTTGACAGAGCAGATATTTGGTCGTTTGGAATAACAGCACTTGAACTTGCTCATGGTCATGCACCATTTTCGAAATACCCGCCTATGAAGGTTCATAGACTCTTTCACCTACATTAATTCGTATGTTTCTTAGAATCTGCAATGTTATCCTCATTTTATAATACCTGAAGGTTTTACTGATGACCCTACAAAATGCACCACCTGGGCTGGATTATGAAAGAGACAAAAGATTCACTAAGGTATACTTGATTTTGGGAAATGTTTAATGCTGAACTTCCCAACTGCTGAAGCACTGTATGTTGCAGTCTTTCAAAGAAATGGTTGCTGCATGCTTGGTAAAGGATCCAAAAAAACGCCCGAGCTCTGAAAAGCTACTGAAGCACCCTTTCTTCAAACATGCGCGTTCAAATGATTATTTGTCCCGTAGTATACTTGATGGTCTGCCTCCTCTAGGTGAACGTTTTAGGACACTTAAGGTCTTGTGCTTATCTTTTCTTTTAAGGAATTTGTATTTATCTTTTTACTCAGCTTTAGCTTTGTCAAAATTTCACTTAAAACAAATAACATTTTCAGGATAAAGAAGCAGATATTCTTATGCAAAACAAGGCATTGCATGAGGATAAGGAACATTTATCACAGGTGAGAATTTTCATTTACATAGGTCAAGCATAGATGACATATTTCAAATGTTTGTTTTGGTTAGCTCTATATGTCATACCCAATCCTGAAACTCATCCCTGCACTACGACCAATCATCAAATTAACCTATCATGATTCTATACTATATCAAGATACCAAATTTTATGTTACGACATGAAGAATAAACATAGCTTTGTTCCTTGTACACGCAAAGCGGATGCGGCATGGGTTGTGCTGGGGCTAGGAAAATATTACTGTAATTCAGGTAATATAATAGAGTATTTTAGAGGATAAGCCATTGGATGAGTGATCACCACTGTTGTTAAGTGGGTTTCATGAATAAGTGTTAGGACCTTTTGTTTGTATACAAACCATTTAGTAGTCTAAAAGCATTCTTTGAAGTGGTTGAAGTGTTCCTTTGAAGAATTCCAGTGTCTTGTGTGTCCTAACTTGTTACAAGCGTCATACAGGCCATCCAATGTTATTGAGTCCCCTTAACTAAGTCGTTACAGAAGTTTAGAAACTACGTGCCATACAAAAAGAGGGGTTTGCAAGGACAAGACTGTGATAAGTGGTGCATGTGGTCAGTTCTAATGGTCGTTGTAGCTTTCCAAACATAGTCTATATATATTTAGGTATATTTACAACAAATGTCTATCTACAAAACACTCCCATCACACTGCCTATAAGTTATCATCTATACATGCAGTACAGCATTGGCGTAAAGTTCCTTAGCCGATGATTTTCCTTATGATCTGAACCTAAAAGAAATAAAATCTGGAGAATATGCATTGATGTCTTAATGTATTTGGGAGAACATAATTTGGTGCATGTAAATATGCACATATATATGAGATGTTACCTTCACTATGAGCTGCTATTGTGTGCAGCAAGAGTATATCCGAGGAATCAGTGCCTGGAACTTCAATCTGGAGGATCTGAAGAATCAAGCTGCACTTGTATGTCAATTTTATCCACTAATCAATTGTTCAAAATCCTTCCACTACCCAAAATACATCCACTATTGAAAAAGCTGCATGAAGATCCTTTTATTATTTACAGATTCAAGATGATGATATTATGAACATGGAAGACTCGAGTGTACATGGAACTTGCACAAACAGGCAAGATGATGCTGGCTCCCATGTACCTCCTGTATATTCTGAGCAGGCTACCCATTCTAATAGGACAGCTCAATTGGAGGTAAAAATTACGTATAAAATTGTTGCATGGTTTTCCACTTGCTTCCACTCACACAGGAGGCCATCTTTGAATCTTCTATACATTACCTTATTTTTCATTTGGTTTGCTAAACCTGATTTTTGGTAGCTTGTTTCTGTTATCTTAGGATGAGCTAAATGATATTGATGGATTGGAGAGCTCGTTGTCTGCATTTCCAATGAAACCCCTTCAGGCTCTCAAGTATGCGATTCATGTTTGATAGAGCTTTCAGCATCATATCTGCTTTCTTTCTATAACATGAGAAGTGATTTTTTCTTGTGTGTGTGAATATAATTGCTTGCTACTACAGAACGTTATTAGGCTTGGATGGATCTAAGTGGAGATATCTGAAAAATATTATCTGATAAGTGAATTGTTGGCTCTCTTGTCTATGTGCAAAAGGGAATAATAAAATATAAGCAGTTCTAAATGTTCATTTTCGAACATAAACCGTTCTATTCTATTTTATCAATGTAATACATTGTCATCCCTTACACCAGTACTTGGATTCCTATAGGGGGTGAAATTTAAATGGTTGAATCTGGTTATGACAGAGAAGAGTTTTGTATTAGTATTTCTTCTTATGTATATCTTTCCGTTTCTCTTTGTTCCCATATTGGCTTGTAAGTTTAGTCATTTCCTAAGTTCATATATTGCCTATTGGTTTTGCAAATGCAATTAAACTTGTCAAACTTAATGAAGCTTTTTATTGAATGAAGAGGTTGTTTTGATGTGTGCGATGACGACATGGGTTCGGATAGTCCAAACTCAAGAGACTCTGCACATTCAGATCATGAACAGCATAGTCAGCAACTGGGATCTAATTGTGCCCCAGATCGAGAATCAGGAAGAGATAATATTGGAGATTCTAGCCAAAGGGGATCCTTATCCTATTCAGTCATTGCAGGGCATAAAAAAATTTCCAGTGGCTCACTGCTGCCTGATAAAGTTCTCTCTCCAAAAAAATTTATTGGTGATGGAGACAGGTATATCCTCACCTCCCTGAAATCTAGAATACATAGATGTATTTGAGAACCTTGAATTAGAATTATGTTGGTAGATATAGGGTCGGATCTCCCACTGGTTTCATAACAGTGGAATTAGGCTAGAATGAGGCACAACTGATATGAACGGCAGCAAACTGATATAGGGCCAAGAATGTACAATTACCATATTCTACAAAGAGATGGGAGACAAAGAAAATACAGCTGGTCCACATAATTCTAAACCTAACATTTCTATTCTAACAATTGTGTATGGTCAGTGTCAGTTCATTCACTTACTGAGTTTTCGATATAAATGTTGTGATGCTAAATTTTATTTGTTTTTATTTTTTAAAAGGGACCATCTACAACCAAGACTTCACTCTGAGCGAAACTATAGTGGTCCACTGCAGCATCGACAAAAGAAAGAATTTAGTTATTCTGCTTCTGGTAATGCATTTACAGTACAAGTCTCTGCAATGTTATCATTTGTTGTTTCTCACATATTCTAATTATTCTGAAAATGTGCATTTCAGGGGAGGATGCATCTGAAGGTGCTTTTGTGGAACGTAGAGGACGTTTCCAGGTCACATCAGCCGATCCAAATCAGAAGGTAATTCATATATTATGTGTTGGTTGATATCACCACCATAAGCTTTTGTTATTACCATTATTATATTTTCATATATGATATTTATATTTGATATATGACTGCAATGTCAGAAGCAGCAAATTTAGTTTTCGAAATAATTACTAGAACTACAATGTAAGAAATCATGCAAGTGTTTTGTACTAGCTGATTATGTTTGGATGTTCCCACTTTAACGTCAATAGATGTCGATACCTATCTAATTTTCTTATAGTTGGTTTGGCATAAAACAGCTGCTTGGAATTCTAGCATTGAAAATTTCCATTTCTTCTAGGCACAAACTTTTCCTTTTCCAGATTGCAGCATAATAACTATTGCAGCCAATTTTAATTTTTTTCAGGGTCCTGCAAACCACTTCAACTCAATGTCTAGTGTTTCCCCGAGCCCGACAACACCAGGCTTTTCAGCTTCATCAGTTTTTTCATTGTTGCAATTTATGTTGCAACAGAATTCTATGCAAAGAGTGAGTTCCTCTCAGATTGGTACAAATATATATAATAAATTCATTCCTCCATTGCTGATCTGTGTCCACTCTTGACAGGAAGAGATAGTTAAATTGATGAAATATGTGGAGCAAGTTTCAGGTAATACAGTTGAAAAACAATCTCTTGCTGCTCCTTTTAACCCTTTCCTCAAAACAATTATGACTTTGGCTGATCTCTCTCTGTGTGTGTAGGCAATGCGAGTGAGTTGTCCGAGGCAGAAACAAGCGACGTTTTGCAGGTAGTTTCTGCATTTGTGTTGGAAAAAGATAGATTGGAACTTTCCAAATCTATTTTATTTTATGAATTCAGCAATGAATGGTCACCGCAATAATAAATGTGTTTGCTGTTGCAGATGATCCCTAGTTCCTCGAGGGAGCGAGATCTGCAAGCTCGGGTGATTCAGATGCAGCAAAGGTAAGAAAAGCCACTCCATTTAGTAGGCTGTGAAATTATTGTAATTTTCAGTTTCATAATGTGCTGAACTGAATCCCAAATTTCAGCATCGAATCCCAGGCTGAAGAATTGCAGAGGCTGAGGACTAAAAATAGCCAGGTACTTCACATCTGTTCCTTGCCGAAATAGTTCCAAAAACTCCGAATTTATTTCATCACTATAATACAATACACATTATAATGAATAATTCAAAGCACCCCAATATCTCAGGTCGTACAATTGTTCTTTATTCTTATTATTGCAGTTGGAAAGAAAATTAAGCGCAATGGTACAAGAGCATTGAGCCTAAAGGCAACCAGATAAAGGAATGCAAATTCTCGGAACAATTTATCCATCATCGCTAAAAAGAAATTGTTGTAGCCTTGCACAATGTAACGCCCCAGTGCTTGTGTCTGTGTGAATATAAATTGCTCGATGTATAATATTTCGCCATTTTCAGACTGGTGTGGTCTGGTCAGGTATGTATCATTCCTATTGTTCATTGTGTGTAAAGTATGTCTTCTAATATGCATACTTATTATATTCTGAATTTATTAATGTATCTGATTTGTTTGGTTTCGGTATTAATGTAAATCTGATGCTACTGGGACAGTAAACCATGACATATAGTTTAACATTAAACTAGAATGAGCATATAATTACTCCTTGATGAAGACATTTAGGGAGTGATACTGTTTTTACATGGATCGATTGCGGACAACCACTGCATAATATGTTGATCGATTAGAGCCTTTGATCGTTGAAGTCGAATCAACATATCATATCCTGATAATTCAGACCTAAATGTACCTAGACACACCTTCGGAACATGAACTTTATATGGAGTAATAACATCTTCATGTTTTCGATGAAACAGAAGCATATGTCAACCATTTTAAAGTACCTCAGCCAGTTTCTCAATTACAACTGAAACTATGCCCTTGAGAGTCTCCTGAAAGTCGGAAAAAAAAAAAGTATGAGATAGAAGCAAACTATATGATACAACTATTTACACCAAAATTAAATTTCCGAGAAATATAAGGATTGAGGAAAGCATAGAATGTTCTAAGATGTCTGTGTACGTGTGCATTTGCTTAAGATTGCCTGAGCCTAGAAGTAGCACACGATGATAACATGGGTTAGTGTAATCTGTAACTTGAATTTACATCGGCACTGAAAAGCATATAAATACGAGAATTTTGAATTTTAGAAATGAAAGCAGAGTGGGTTCGATATATAACGAAAACAAACAAAATGATAATAACGCAACAATTTATCTATGTATATATTTGAAACATATATTGTAAAAGAAAGTATACCATACCAGTGAATGGTCTTTCAAACCAAGGGATATTACTAATGCTTTCGATGATCCAGTGTTGCTGCACGCATAGCAAAGGTTGTTGAGCAGTTGGTATTTCAAAAAAGGATATATATATATATATATATTTCGAAAGAGCATAAAAACTACCTAATGTGTTCAATTAACTGTCGAGCACAAGCTGCTAGCATGGGCTGCATATGGTCATCTGGTATATATCAGCATCTTTTTTAATGGATGCATCAGAATCTCGTAGTAAAACGGTACTGGGCTTGAACCCATCAAAATTAACTTCCGGAATTACCTCATCTCGTTTGCCAAGTACTACGTTCACACTGAAAGTTGGATCAACTGAAACACCTCCTTCTTTCCTGGCAATCGACAGATTATCGTTAATAATCCCACCATGCACATCACATGCCAATTTATAATGAGATAGTACATCAACTACAATGACTAGTGGCTAATGACATTATTGCTCTGTTCAAATCACACAAGGGCACAATCTCTACAATGGTTAGGATTAGTTGCGGACCAAAGTTATGCATATCAAAGGGGAGCGACATTCATTTGGAACTTCCGTCATAGAGCCATTTAGTGCACTTCCCAAAATTTAGTTAAAATCATGAGTAAGTTACATAGTCAAAATTTCCTAAAACCTGGGAATGCAGAGGGTAAAAATCAAGAGAAGAAAATATATTGGGCATACAAAAATTCTGGTTCCGAGGACAGGGTATAAGCTTTAGGCATTACAACATATGCAAGCATTAGCACAATATTTATCCACAACCAACCTCCCATGTATCCACAAATTTGCAAAATGAGAATTTCAGATGCATATAAATGGCTACTTATGGGCTTCAAGGTGGGGTGTGAAAGTCCAAATAAATCAACGTAGTTCTTAACTTCGAAGCAAGCACAAGTCCATATTTTTACATAATACATATATGTGTGTATAATATATATATATATATAAAGCCGCACTTCTGTGCCAAGATATTAACAGAAGCTCAGTGCCAAGATATTAACAGAAGCTCCCCCAAGTAAAAAGTCTATAAACTAAAGTACAGATTTATTTGTATATGCAAAGTCATGAATAAGACATGATCTATCAAATTCAGTTAGTATTTATACACACAGTTATAAACCACAGAAACATGTATATCAAATTCAACAGCACGCACACATGTATATACAGAGAAACAATTATTACTCATTTATAAAATAACACGGAAGATCACAATATATACAAACCTACGCTATACTAACTGTTATAGACGAAAACTACACCACAACAAAAAGAGTGTATGATCTCCCCTTGAGATTAAGCAGTCATCTAATTTCACCAATGATGCATTGCACACAGTATAACATGATGGTGATACACGCATACCTAGCATGCAATATTGTCCCCATGCTCCCAATCTGAGTAGCCATGACCTAAAACCAGCACACATTATTAAACAAACTCCAGCTTCAAATTTGCAAACAGAATTCAAACCATTGTATATACAACTCACCAGAAAATGATCTTCATAGCCGCTTATAAAAATATCTGTCTTGTTTCCCTGCCAATACACCGCCCAAAATATAACGAAACTCGTAAAATTACCCAAAATTCAAGCAATGTTTTCCCGACGTCGAATATCAAAATTAACCAAACCGGATAATCAAACTAACGAGTAAATCGGAACTCACCTTGATATCCAAACAGTGCGTGGTGTGGCGTATGGGAAATCCAGGATCGCATCCCTCCATTTCCGTAAATTCTTCGATTTCAGGGTTCAGTCTCGGGGCATTTACCAGTAACCTCTATAAACCCTCGACACGCTTCAATTGCTTTTATATATTCCAACTGTTTCCTTTCTGGGCCGCCCAAATTTTAACGGGCTTTTAAAAAGCCCAATAAATGGGCCCATACCCAATTAGGTGTTGGACTTTCTTGCATTGTACATTAATACTAATTAATTATATTAACAAATTCAATTCAATTCAATTAAATAATTTATATATATATATATATATAAGATAATAATAAATAATACTACAAAGGTGACAATAAAAAGGGCAGGCAGTTGGGAGAATTTGGTTCCCTTTCTTTCACCTTTGATCCTTTCTTGATGCAAATCTCAAGTACGTGTGCAGTGTATATTTGTATGTATTTATCTATCTATCTATGTCCTGAAAGTGTTCTTTTTGAAAATAATAAAATAATAAAATGAAAAATGTGTATTTTCATACAATAATTTAATTGGACAGTGAAAGTAACTTGAGAGTCGTATGGACATTAAATAGTCAGTCGAAGCAAAGATTTTGGGCACTTATTTACCTGCAGTCAATATATTTGTTACGGGGGGTTATTGCAGCACTCTGTGTATTGATTTTTTTACTCGGTGAAAAAAAAAAAAAATTAAAAAAGAATTGAAGTATGGAAAGTTTTAATTATGTGAACAGTTGTTGTTTCTGGGAAAAGATCAATACTCTTTCACTTTCAGTTAAAGCAATACACATCCCCATATAATTAATTTTCTTGCATTTTGGAGTGGCTGTATTTATGTCCTCTTCAATGTCAACCATATATTTTTTACCCCACAAGAAACAAAAACGAATAATAAATAAATAAAATTGAATTTCTAATGGGGAAATTATTTTATTTTTAATCATTATATATATCTGTGTTTGGTTATTAGTTTTATATAATGTGTGTTTTAAAAATAGATTAATTTGAATTTTATCAATACTTGTTAATATATCAAATAAAATAGAAAGGGGTGATACTAAACAATTATATGTACATAAGTTCATTCATGTTCAACATTATAATTATTACTTTATCTTTAAAATATATTGACTTGATTAATCTATTTTTATTATATTACGTTGTACACCCTCCGTCTTAGCTATCGTGTCCGGTTTACTGTAGACACGAGAATTTAGGAGGGATATAATTAGTAAATAATTAAAAATGTATTAATGAGTGAAAATAATTATTGTATAATAAAAAATAGTTTAAGATTAAAATTAAGATAATCAATTAATCTAATTAAAATTAAAAAAATTATAAATTAAAAAATTTAATATGTGAGTAAGGTGTATAATTTTTTTTTTTTTTAAAAAATGACAGATCACTGTAAGTGAAACAGAAAGACTAATAAATAATAATGACAGGAACACACGCGTAAACTATAGTACAAAGCTGATTGATTGTTTTTCTGGTAGCGGTGGAGAGAAACAAAGGCGTTTGTTTTGATTAATTGAATGAATATTTATTACTAAGGAATAATTTTTATTTACTCTCTCCGTTCTATAATTAAATATTTATTTTTTTTTCACATAATTTTAAAAATATTAATATTATATTTAAATTTAGTATGAATAAAATAAAAAATGATTAAAATAACCTTATTAATATGTGTGATATAAAGATAATGACATTTGTGTAATATATTGTAAATTGTAAGGATATTTATAATGTTAAGTAGATAGTACAATTACTAAAAAAAAAATAGATACTTTGTCATGAGACGGACTAAAATGAAAAAAATGGATATTTTGTTATGGAATGGAGGGAATATTTTTTTTAATTCTTGTAAAAATAACATTAATGACAAGAGCATATGAAATATATGAAAATCTTCTTCGATGAGTGAAAAAATTGCTGAATTCATATCCAAGCATAACCAAGTGGTTTTTTGTTTTTTTCTTAGCTGATGCAAGTGGTTTTTAGTTTTTGCAAGTGGTCACTTGCTTGTATAGTTTAATATTTAGTTTTGAATTATAGTTTTTTTTTTTTAATTATTATTATTAATCCAAGATTATTATATTTCACTCGAAATATCTCTTACCTTCAGTGAAAATAAAATACAAAACAACTTGCAACAAAATAAATAATAAAATTACAAAAGATATTCATATTAGAATTACCATATGTAATTTGTTATATATATATATATATACACGGTTGCGGCTACCATGCTGAATTTTAAATTCAACACTATACTGAATAATACGTAATGTGCTAGAAAATAATAGCCGTGCATCATTTATATTAATATAATACAAATACAATACAATATATGAACTAACCGCACATGTAACAGTTTTAGCACGTAATATACTCATATACAACACACATTATAATTATAAACAAACAACATAGGTGTTGTTTCTAATAAAAATATGTGATGTTTTTGTGTATATGTTATAATTGTGATTGTGATTGTATCTTTTTGTGGGTTATTAAATTTGTGTATTTTACTTTTACGTGTAATTTATTAATTTCATTTCTTTTGTGGTGTTTATATATGGTATTCACAGTTGCATAAATTCTAACTGCATAAATTTAAAATATAATTGTTACATATGTTTCGTCTAGTGTAATTTGTCTTGTCGAATCTACTTTCCAGGTTACTAACTTCGGCCGAAAGTTTACCCAGTGTGCACTTCCGAATAACATTTCCAGATTTCCAATTCGTTAAAAAAAAAAAAAAGGAATTGCTGAAGCAAGAGGTCTATGAATGTGATATTTGAATGAAATTCAGCCATCAATATCTCCACATATTAGTATAAATAAATAATAGAATAATACTATCATATAAGATTAATTTTTATTTGAAACATTGTAGTATTAAATAATAAATTATTTTTATTCAAAATACATAGGTAGAAGAAAAAAATAAAGATGAATGAAATCAGTAATATATCAAAAATTTTTGTGCAAACATGTCTTGTTAAAATAAATATACCATATTACTATCTTTTCCGCTCTATTAGTTTTATTTTTGTTCATCCTAAAATATAATTATATGCTTTAACTATATTTTAAATTTCATAATCAATAATTATTTTTAATTTTGATTAAAGTGATTAGTTATTTTAATTTTAATTTATAATTATTTATATTCTTTCCGTCAAGTTAGAAAATATATATTTTTATTTTGAGTTATCAAATTACAAATTAATTATTTCATTAAATATCTCATGTTTTACATCGTATCATTACTTCCATATCAAAAAGCAAGGACAAAATGTCTTTATACTATTTTAACTATGCACTATAATTAAAATATTATTCTCTCTGTCCCATTTACTGTGTCCACACTTTCATTTTCGTATGTCTTACTTATTCGGTCACTTTTATTTTTTAAAAAAGAATTATACACTTTAATCACATATTAAATTTTTTAATTTATAATCTTTTAAATTCTAATTAGACTAATTGGTTATGTTAATCTTAATTTAAAATTATTTTTATTATACGATAATTATTTTAATTAATATATTTTGAATTATTTACTAATTACACTTCTTCTAAATTTTCGTGTCTACAGTAAACGAGACACGATAGCTGGGACGGAGAGAGTATTATTTCTAAAACTCCGCATTAAAAATAAATATTTACTTTGTAGCCGGACGGAGAAAATATTATATAATAAGAATTTTTTTCATATATTTTTTAATTATTTATTAATTTTATTTTAGTTAAATTTTTGCATCTACACGAAAATGAACATATGATATGAGACACATAGAACTATACAATAGTTTTTATAATATTCCTTTCGGACAATGAATCAGGTGTTGAACACAATATTTGTAAATTAATAATTTTAATTTGTATAATTTATATACTTTTATTTTTTCAACACGTACCAACACATAAACATTCAGCTTTTGATATGCATTGTTCTTTCCGTCTCAACTTAGAGTACTATTTTATCTTTTTTGTCTGTTATATTCAAAAGTATTTATTTTCTATTTTAATAAAATAATTATACCAGTACATAAATATAAACATTTAGGTGGTGTTTGGTATAAATAATAAAATTGCATATAAATGAGAATAGATAATAGAATTGGAGAGAAATATATTAATTCTCTTGTTTGGTAAAATAGATCATTCAATTGAGAAATGTATAAAAAATATGCAGTTATATATAGATCAAACAAAAAGAAATGATTAACTATATAAAAAAAAGTTTTAACGAATGAAAATTGATGAAAAGTATTTTTGGTGATTTTTTTTTAAAAAAAAATTATAAATTATATACGATGTTTTATATTTTAGTATGATTTCTTAAAAAATTGTAAAACTTAAATACTTTAACAATAAATTAAATTTGATTTTTGTAAAATTAAAATAATATATTAAAAAATATATATATATAAATTAGATAGTACAAAAAAAATAAATTTAAAAATTAAAAAATATATACCGCTGTATCATTTCTCTCAATTTCTCTGCATACAAGAGAAATGAAAATAGAGAAATAGAAATGATTTATTTGTCAAGTTTTATTTATCTGACTCAAACAAATAAGAGAAATGACATCATTTCCATTTCTCTGGCGTCAATTCTCTGTACCAAATACACCCAAGCTTTTGATATGCATTGTTCTTTCCGTCTCAACTCAAAGTATCATTCTATTATTTTCGTAGGTTCCATTCAAAAGTATCTATCTTTTTTTAAAAAAAAAAAAAATTTAGTAAGAGTAATATAACAATATATTAATATCAAAATACTTTTAACTTTTACTTACATTACAAACATATTATTACACATACAATTATTTTATACAAAAAGTAAAAAGACAATAATATCAAAATATCTTACACATTTTCACTAATTAATAAATTATTATTTTTTAATATACTAGAAAACTCTAAAAAGGTACATTCGAGTGGGACAGAGAAAATATTTCATAGAAATAATACTAGAAAATAAAATTAGTTTAGAAAATAATAATTGATTATACTTGAGGACAGAGACGGTGAGACTCGAGATATGGAGCTTTAATACCATGTTAGATAATTAGAAGGATCGTTTAACCTAAAAATTTAAATTAATAAGTATACGTAATTAATTAATTTATTTAAATACGAGAGACAATCAATATATATAAATAAAAATTACAGAAATTACTAATTTAATAATAATAATATATATATATACATAAAAATTACAGAAATTACGAATTTAATAATAATAATAATAAGTTTATTGTATAATTCTACTATGTATATTATGACCCTGCACTAGTGACGCATGGTGTGATGAGAGGCGACGGAGATGGGAACAGAAACATAAGAGAAGATTTGAGGGAAGAATAATAAGAAAATAATTTTTTTATACAGAATTAAAAAATAAAAAAATAAATTGGGATGAATTATTTTTTGTTTTCTTTTTTTTCACAAACAAATTTAATTTTCGTCATTTGAGAGAATTCAAAGAAGAGAATAAAAAAATATTTCTCAATTTTATTTTTATTTATTTTTATTTTTAAATCCCAGTAGCAAACAAATTAAATAAGAGAAATAATTTTTTATTTTATTTTGTGCTAACATTGTACCAAACATCCCTTTGGACCTGTCTATATACATTGGAAGTTTTGACATCATTTATTGATAGTAAAACTTTAAAAACTCACATCAAATTTTAATTTGTTATTATTATTTACATTTTTTTATAAAAAATTAAAATTTTTTCTATTTAAATGGGTAGGTTTCGAATTTGAATGTTTAAATTTTCTAATTGGTATTATATACTTTTGAAATCTATTATTTCAGGTAATCCTTTTAAGATATATTACGATTTCATGTAATAAATTTTATACTTCTTTTGTCTCACGTGTAATATCATATTTTTTATTTCTGTGTTCCATATCCTTGTTATTTTTTTTTTTTGAAAATATTATACACACTTTAATTATATTTAAATATTTTAAATTTCAAAAATTTAAAATTCTAACTATATTAATAGTTATTTTAATATTAATTTATAATTATTTTTACTAATATATTATTAATTATTTACTGATTATTATCCTCTTCATTTTTTTATTTACAGTAACCTGACATCAGATCAGTGAAGAATGTAGTATTATTGATATAAAACTTGGAACAGTGATATTGAAAAACGAAAGGTAAAATAATTTGTTATTAGTTATATGAGTTTGATAATTCTGAGACGTTAGAAAAAATCGTTATTAGTTAAGCATAAATGTTTAGCGAGGACATGACATGAATGAGTTAATTACAATGGCGTGTAAATTGTAATCATGTACATTACTCACGTGCCAAATAAATAAATAAATTATAAAATTCGAATATATATATAGGTTGGGAGGCGCGCAGGCTCACGCGCGGGGAGTGAGAGTGGGGGAGCGAAGGTTTCTTAATTCAGCAAAAAATCGAACCCTAGCGTCGCTTAATACATGGACCTCTGCACCTCTTTGGAATCATAAGATAAATTGCATGGAAAAAGCACACGCCTTCCCCTTCCTGTACGCTCCAAGCAATTAATTAAAAAAATAAAAATAAAAATAAAAATAAAATATTATTATTATTATTATTATTACAAAACCCACCAGGCCAGGCCAGGCCAGAGACTCTCGTCCGAATGGAATTGGATTTCTTCCCCCTCCTATAGCACCCTCCCATTACATTGAAATTCTTACACTAGCTTAGGTTGAATATATCCTTTGTTTCCATGTTCGAAAATGGAGATCGTCCCGCCGTACTCCTGACACACGGCCTACCTCTACCTATTATTTATGTTCTTACAATTGGCCTGCAGGGCGGTGCGGATTATTGGAATCCATCCGCCATTTTTAACGGATTGCTGTCGTCGTCCACCGTCGGATCAATTGAAATAATGGACGGCCAGGATTCCAACACATCTTCGACGACGGCGGCGGCGGTAGTGAGCCGCTGCTGCGGAGGCCGGAGATCGGAGGAGGACGAGGATGAGAGCGCAGCGGCGGCGGCGGCGGCGTGCAGCGGTAAGTCATGCCAGTCGTGCACGGCGGGGGCAATCGCCGATTGCGTGGCGGTGTGCTGCTGCCCCTGCGCGGTGGTGAACTTCTTGACGCTGGCTTTTCTCAAGCTGCCGTGGGCGGTGGCGCGCCGCTGCCTGGGAAGGAGGAGCCGCCGGCAGCAGCGGCGGCTGGAGGCGCCGGAAGGGAGGGGGGACATGGAGGGAATTTCCGAGAAGATGAGGGTGGAAGAGGGAATATCAGAAATTGCATTATCGGCTTCCGGTGTGACTGTGTATGAGCGAAATGACAATTTTGGGGCTGAGTTTAAGGTGGAGGAGGTGTGGTTGGAGGTTGGACATATGGGTTTTGGAAGGGTTTCTTTCACAGGGACTCCTCCTGCGCAAACCCAGGGCAGTTAGGTCATTTCGTCTTCAATCCCCTGTCCTTTTCAGACCGTCCTGTCTTCCTTATTTTAACCTCTAGCTTTGGCAAGCTTAGTTTAGTTATGTTTCTGTTGCTCATAAATTTGCATGTGTTCTTCCTATAACATCAGTTTCTTCATGCATGCTGTTAATTTAATTAATCATGTCTCATTTTTTTTCATAATTCCTCTTTTTAACAATTTTCGAAATTTATAATAAATAACAAATCAATTGGATATATATATATATTTACTTATTTATCGAGTATATGCATGGATATAAGAGCCAGTTCTGTCAGATATCAGGTCAAAGTCAAAGAGTATACTGCTTGTTAATTTTCAACCATGAATGTTATTATTATTATTATTATTCATTTATTTCCAAAAATTTTTTGTTTCCCCCGTGGGATCTTCAAACATGTGGGCTACACCATGAATTATTCATAAAGAAAATGTTTATTCATATACACACATAGCTCTGTGTACGTGCATTTTACTATGTTATGTTTGAAAATAAATATTTAATACTCCCTCCGTCATCAAAATCTTTGCTCATTTGATTAGACATGAGAATTAATAAAAGTAAGTAATAATTATTATTTTTTTTATAATAAAAATAAATACAAAAATATAATAATTTTTTATTTAAAAAGAAAACGATAATAGTTTTCGATGACAACCCAAAAAAGAAAATGAACATAAATTTGAATGACGGAGGGAGTATGATATTTGGTTAGAAAGTAATACTCCTTCCGTACCTTAATATCAAAGGGGTAATTTGGAATTTTATAGTAAATTAAAAAATAATAGTATTTTATTGGCCAGTGAAAGTGTGTAAAAAATTTAGATATTTTTGTATAAATTAATAAAAAACATAAATTTTTTTTTCTTTTAAAAAATATGTATGTAAGTTACGTTAGTTTTCCACTAATTGTAAGTAAAACTTGATGTATGTGTGTCTTACATTGTGCCAATTAAAAATATTTTCCTACACTAAACTAAATATTAATATTTTATCATTTTTTAATAATAATAATAATAATAATAATAATAATAATAATAATAATAATAGTAATAATAAAATCAATAAGGCCAAAATATACGTAGAATGTTGGATGTATATACGGACTCTAATTAGTTCTATAATGCCATTTTACTTGTGCCACATATTGATAATATAGATTATAATGGTTCTTCTAAAACACAACTTCAGCATAATCATTTAACTAATTAACATAGTAAACTATTGTAATTTAAATATAAAGTTAAAATAATGAGAGACAAAATGGATAATATACATAAGACTTCTATTCTTATTATTATTAAATTTCTTTTTTAAATTAGACAATATTCCCTGGTAGGTCCTGATAAAATTGGAATAAGTAGATAAAATGTTATAATAGCATTACATGTAATGTAGCACAAACATGACAAAAAGCTAAGCCTAGCTATCAACACAACACTACATTACACTTGTTAGTTGATGGGATGGGGTGGGGGTGGGGGTGGGGGTGGGGGTGGGAGTGGGACATCATGTATTTATGCTACTTTCTGTTCCAACTGTCGTGTCTTTGATATTCTGTCCCTTATTTACACATTTTTTATTTAATTTATAGTAATGTCTTTTTATTTAAATGAATATTTTCAAATATTTATATACATGTATTGAAAATATTAACTCTAAAACAATTTCTTATTAAATTCCCACGATTAGGCCGTCATTATGTTAAGGCCCATTAATGCAGTGCAGAAACTCTCACGAGCTACTCGAGTAGGTAACTGTAAGTGTAACGAGTCCATATAATCTGTATATATATATATGGAGAGCAACCCAAACACATCCTTATAAGGTGGCCTTGGATGGGGGTAGACAGTGGCGATGCAACGTATTATGGTGGCGGGGAGCGACTCAACGATCTAGGGAACTAGCTCGGGATATCCATCCGCAGGCCTCGATAAGCAGTAGAAGAGCGTTCGTTCGAATGGATTCTGAAGAAAATCATTCGCTCCTGTTCTGTGCTGGTGGTTCAAACTTCTTTAATTTTCCTTCATGATCAAGTGCTCGGTAAGGATGGTGTGAACGCAGATTATGCAGTGATTTGATTGATTTCACATTTCATTTTATTTTATTTTCATAGTCGTGGCTATCGCTGTGATATTTGCTCGATTGTTCCAGTTTTGTGCTCTTTCAACTGAATTTTAGCATTCGAAGTTGATGCTTTGTTAAGTAGTTTGGATATTTGTGTTTGTGTTTTTGGATTGGCGGTGTTTAGATATATATGCTGATTCAGGAATGGCTAAAAATATATAAAATGTGCGGCATAACCTCTGTTTCATGTTGTTTTCTATATCTCCCTTCTTAAAGCTGGTACGTGTATTCGCTACAGCTTTTTAGCTTTTGTGGCATTTTGATGAACCTCTGTATGATGCTTTAAATTTCTAAACAACATAGGCAAAAGCAAGGCAAGGATAGGTAAATATGAAATATGGTGAGGTGTAGATGATGGTACTCGCAAATATTCAGAGCTCACTGTGTTTTATAGGAAGCCTATTTTCAAGCAAAACTAATTGCACCACTACCAACATGTTTCAATCACTTTCCCTGATGATAATGGTATTTCCAAGCTCACTGATACTATATTATAGGATTCTCTCTGCATAATCTCCGGTAATATGTTAATTCCATGTTTATTACTCTTCTCAAGGCTGTGATGGCATAGCTACCATTTATGCCTCCCCTCTCAAAAGCCTGAACCAAAAAGACAAGGTGACTTTCATCTTTCCGTATCTTTTGTGCAAATGCCATGCTAGAGTGGCCATTCCTGGATCATTAGCCTAAAATTCTTTGTTTCAGTAGGCTTATCCTGAGATGGCCAACAAACCAATTTCCACACGTGGTGAAGAAGCTCGAGAGTCTTGCAGTTGCAGGTGAAAGAGGATATTCATCCAGGCAAGTAAAATTTCATTTCCTAGGATCAGATTAACTGTTGCAGGATAACACTACTACTAACTGCTGTCCTATTACTACATCATGCGGCAATTCTAACACTGAGAGATGCAAAAAGCCAAAAGTTAAGAGGCGTAGCCAAAGTTAACACTAACCTACATAGAGATATCTGTTGCTCCAGGAAGGTTTGGGCAATTTTGAACATTCTTTAAGACGACGAATTCGCCTCCAAGACTCCCACCACCTTCACACCGAGTGTTTCCAGAGTCTCTAGGAGATTCTTCAAAGCATCCTTCAAGTCAGACTCAGCATCTGGCGAAAATTTTGGGTGATTGTCCAGAATTCTGATCATTCCGTCAAGTTTTTTCCTGATAACTTGAACATCAGACCAACAAATATCTTCCTCTGTTACTTGGCAGCAGTCCTTTTTCTCAGTAACCTCCTTACAAGGAGATGGATTCTTCAGATGATTCCCACCCAAAGTGTACTGCAACGAATAGTCCACGACATTCTTGACACCAAAAGGCCTCTGATTTATTGATGACTTGAAGGCATCCTCTGCGTCCGAGCCCTTCATATAAACAATCTTTACAGAGTTCGAATCCGTTGCCACAGTGGTTTCCTCTACGCTCAAAGCCCCAAACTGCCTGTACAGCTTCACAACATGTTCCTTTGATGGCAAAGGAAATTCAGGTGAGAAAGTCAGGGTAAGGCAAGATGATGCATTTTCATCTCTTTTCTCCTCGTCATATCTTATCATAGAAACCTCTGAAGCTTTCCTTGAAATTTTTGATTTCCTTTCAGTCTTCACCGCCTTACTAGTTTTGGGGCCTGATTTTGCATTTCTGTGTTCTAGACCAGCTTCTTGATTCCTTATAGATCCTTTCCTCTTCCTGTTTGTTTTGCATTTCTGAAACAGCTTATAGTCCGGCCCGTATAAGTATGATGAGCTTCTAAATGCAGAAGCAAATGCCTGTACCATGTCGAGCGAACCCGCCCTGCTTAAATAAAGAGCATCTAGTGCAGCAGACTCGAGTTCTGACAGCAATCCATCCGCAGGTACGTCGACAACATCAGATTCATCAAAACTCATCTTCTTACACTTCTTGGCTGCAGGTGAAGGATTCACAGTAGCAGATGCGTTATGAAGAATTCCATCAACATGAAATTCAGAAACAGGTGAAGTTGCTGAAAGGCCTCCGGAAGCTTTCTTGATATGGCTCTCCGAAGAATCTACCTTAGAAATTCTCGACTTGCTGACCTGCGATTGAGGGCTCGTATAAGGAGGAGATAAGTATTTACTCTTCTTCCTTTCCCTAGTTGAAGATAACTTCTGAGCACCTGCAGAAGTATCAGCTTCATCTTTCTCCCGTTTCCCAGATAAGGTACCTTTGTTTGCACAATTCCCATTTCCGATCCCTCCATTTAGTACACTCCCAGTTCTTACTTCACGGGATTCAGACCCTTCTTTCAAAGAATCCTTGTCAACTTCTTTACCCTCTTTAACAGCATATTGGTTCTTCATGGGCTTCACTTTGACATTGTCATCCACAAGTCCAGAAACTCTTCTTTTCTTCCTTCTATGACTACTCTTGTCGTCTGATAAGACCGACACCGTACCATTCTCCAACCTCTGTATAGGGACATCAATTGTGAAACTAAAATCAGTAGAATCTTTGTCCGTTTTTTCGCCATTCTCCCCCATGCTAATATGAAGGGATTCGCAGCACTTAGGCAACCGATAACCACCTTTCGCCTGGTAGAACACAGACAGCCAACTTCTTAAGACTGCAAACTCAAGCTCATTCTCAACCATAACACCTCTAGCAATCAAAACCACCTTAGAGAGTATATCCTCAGGACTATAGTTAGCCACAGAAAGCCTACTTATATCCACCTCGGGCGCAAGAACTCCTTCTTTGACGCCGGCATTTGACACCACTGGTTTAGCAAGCCTATCTCTAATCTCTACTGGCAGGCATTTACATGTCATCTTCAACTCCACAACTCGACAAACCTCGTCGACAGCACTCTTTACGGCAATGGCGAAGCTCCTGGAACTACCATCAACTGACAACTCTTTGAAATTTTCGACCAAATGTTTCAACTGATTAGGTAAGCACCAAGAACAAGAACCATCTCCGAAAAATGCTACTAAGAGACGACCCTCAATGCCGTGTTTAAGTGCAAATTCAGAGGCATCCTGTGGGTCGTAGATCTGTCCTGGCAACCATGGATGAGACTTCATTTTGGCCCATACAAAGTCACCCACTTTAAAGCCATGTTCATCATCTAGTTTCACGACATTCCCATCTCCTTTATCCTCGACATCTTTGACCTTTTCATTGATGTTCACAAGTGCACTACATGAAGGGATGTCTTCATTAAGACCAGCAAAGGAATGAACCTTAACCATATCTACCACAACGTTGTTGGAACTCCCTACTCCAATGTTCTCTGCCTCCATATCTTAATTATTCTGCCATTGATTTCAAAAAATAAAACAAAATGAAATTCTCTGGTGCATCTATAGCGAACAAAAACAGTTCAGATTGTCCGCCGAAGCGGGAAAAGCTTGAAGTTGGGAAACAACAAATGTAAAATTTGACCCTCCAAATCGAGTTTTAAAAAAGAAAAAAATGTAAAATCTTCAGACACATTCAATCACATATATGGATAGATACTTACGAATGTAGTAGTACTTACCAAAATGTTAAAGGAACCTCTTTTCAAGCAGTGAAATTTAGAGAAGCATAATCACCAAGCTTGCATCGGCAGGGAGGGAGCTCGCAAAAACTAGGGTTTTAAAAGAGAGGCGAGGAATTCAAATGAGAGCGGAAGCGGAGCGTCGGAGTGTGTTTTTTTGAGATAGAAACATTTTTACTCAAAATAAATGCATGCTGGGAAGCCTGCCTTGAAAGCACTATTTTCTGCAGGAGGTACTTTTTGAACTGTTAATTTAATTTAAATTTTTAATTATTTACACCGGCGATAGTGTAGTTTTAATACGTACTCGCCCGCCGCTGCGTGGATCTATATCTGCAGACTAGAGAGATGGCGCGTGCATTTCAACCTTTCTCGTCGCGCGTGGACCCGTCCGTGACTGGACGGACGGTGATTGACAGCTGCCGGTTCACATTCCGGTTCAGAGCAGGGTTTGGGCATTGTTTCCGAGAACTGTGCAAGGTTTTCTCGAAATTGGTTTTTTTTTTTTTTAAAGGTAAATTTATTGCAACTTTGGTATGACAAACTTGAATAATATTGGTAAGTATTGGGTTTGCATATGCCCAAAATAGTTTAGAGAATATATATACGTAAGGGTGTAATTCATTGTGCATAATGTGATGAGTAAATTACACACAGGATGTTACAAAATTCCTACCAGTTTTTGTGTTTTGTGTTAAGCAATGGTGACCTTCGCGCCGGCTTCTTCTAGCTGCTTTTTGGCTTCCTCCGCCTCCTCCTTGGAAACCGCTTCCTTGAATTTCTTCGGCGTTCCTTCGATCAAATCCTTGGCTTCCTTGAGAGGTAAATTTGTGAGAGCTCTAACTACTTTAATTGTTGCAATTCTCGCATTGCTCGGAACCTCCTCGATCACCACGTCGAACTCTGTCTTCTCTTCGACGACGGCAGGCGCTTCGGCCGAAGCAGGCGCCGCGGCGACGGCGGCGACTGGTGCGAAGGAGGCAGCAGAGACGCCGAGCTTATCCTGGAGGTACTCAACGAGCTTCTGAGCATCAGCTAGGGTTAGATTCGAGATCTGGTCGCCTAGCTCGACGACTTTCTCCGGAGCATCGACTGCGGCGATTGGACGGATGGAGGCGACGCGGCGGCGGCGGAGGCGGAAAATATCGGTGGAGATAATTGAGAATTCGATCGATTGGTTGCGAAATTGCGGTTCCGTATGAGCGGTTGAAGGCTTTTGATAACAGGGAGAGCCGAGAGCGAAGGAGGATAGAGCAGACGCCATTGGATGAGCTCAGTATAAGATTGCAAAATGAAGAAGATAAGGCTACTGCAGCAAATAAAATTCGAGCTCTTAAACGAATTTACAAAAATACCCTCCGAGGATTAACATTGGGCCGGCCCAATTTCAATGCCTAAGATCCAAGCGGAAGCCCAATTTGAAAGTGGCCCAATTAGAAGCCCAACAGAAAAATTAATTAAATGCGATGAAAACTTTCGTTTTATTTTATTAAAAAAGAAAAAGAAATCGTTAGAGTCTCATTTGCATGCGGTCATATATAGCCGACACGACATGTGATTCATATTTATCTTTCACGTGCTACTCTATCCCTTTCATTTTCCACAACAAACACGTGGGGAAATAAAACGAATGGCTCACATTTGAGTAGGTTTATAAGGATTTTAATTTAATATTTTTTTAAAAAAATTATATATATCTCGAAGAAACGATTGAGACTAGTACATATTCAAAGTGTCTTTGGTTAAATTGAATAGTGTTGGGGTTAATCAATATAATGGAGGTTCCAAAAGGGTTTTATTTTACTTTAGAGTTTTATAAAGTGGTAGGCAAAAAAGCCCACAAGTGAGAGTTTCTTGAATTTGTGTGGTCAGCAGAACTCCAAATTAAATGGCGTGTGATTAATTAATGATTTGATTCAAATGTGAGTTTAATGTAAAATTAATTAATTAGTTAAAGTAGCTAGGGGGTGGGGGGTGGGGGGTGGGGGGGGGGGGGGTAGACATTCATAGTGACGCGCGAGTTAGTTAGGCATATGGAGGAGTAGTGGAAGTAGAGATGATATGATATGTTTGCATGGAGATATTATATGAAGATATATGTATATATAATATATATATATATATAGAGAGAGAGAGAGAGAGAGAGAGAGAGAGAGAGAGAGAGAGAGAGGGTTTGGGCAAGCAAAGGGATAGTCGTATGAAGAAAGCAAATATTGATTTTTGCCAAAATAGGTTTGCAAACTTTCCACGTGCCTATTTACACTCACTCCTATTAGGTATTTGTTTCCCCCATGCATCCTTTTTATAATGAGTATATCTATTTTATGCTATCTCCGTCACATTTACAATATCTGATACACTATAGATACGATATTTTAAAAGGGATGTAATTAGTAGATAATTAAGAATATATTAGTGAAAATAATTATCCTATAATATAAATAATTATAAATTAAGATTAAGATAACTAATTTGTTTAATTAAAATTTTAAAAAAATTAATTAAAAAATTTAAAAATGAGATTAAAGTGTGTAATTATTTTCCAAAAAAGAAAAGTGATATGGAATGTGGGACGAACAAAAACGACAACATGAACATGGTACGTGGGACGGATGAGTATAAAATTAGAAAAGACCACTTTAAATTGAGAATGAAAAAATACAAACAAACACCGCCCGGCCTTGTAAGTTGTAATCATTATTCTGTTTCACCCACATAGCCACATACATCTATGAAGGGCTGTATGGATGAAAACGTGCAAGTGAATAATACTGCACGCAGTAAAATATCCGAAACGCGTGGAGTTAAAATATCGCAAGCATATTATTTATTGCACATGATACATATAATTATAATACTTACTATGTTTCTTTACCCAAATTTGTCTTAATTTTACTATTTGAATTATGCGTTGTTCAGAAAAAATACATATATATTTTTTTCATAAAATATTTCATAAAATATTAATTTAATATCAAAATCAAACCAAATTTTTTCAAACTCAACCAAAAGAAACACACCTTAAAATATTTCTTATATGTACGTGCATCCATGGATCTCTGCTCATGCCACTCACCAATAAACTTTGTCTACAGATGTCTCATGCGAAAAAAAAAAATACTCTCTCTGTTCCATAATTATGTATCTATTTGCTTTTTGCACGGGGTTTTAAAAATATTAGTATTATATTAGGATGTAGTAGCAATAAAGTAGAAATGACTAAAGTAACCTTATTAGTATTGTGTGATATAAATGTAACGATATTTGTGTAATATATTGTAAGTTGTAAGAGTATTTATAATGTTAGGTAGATCGTACAATTACTAAAAAAGAAAATGAATACTTTGTTATGAGACAGACTAAATAGAAAAATGGATAGTTTATTATGGAACGGATGAAGTATATTTTTTTCGAAAAACGCAGAATTCAAGTAATAAAAATCTGTGATTTTTGGCACAAGAAACATACCCTAAATTCATGTATATATTTTTTTAGAGTTTTTAAAAAATTTTAAATATAGATAAAAAATTAATACTTCATCTATCGTTCAAATCGATGTTTATTTTCCTTTTTAAGTTGTCATAAAAAAATATTTACATTTCCTTTTTAAGTAAAAAAAATATTATACTTTGTATTTTTTTACTATAAAAATAAAAAATTATAATTATTACTCATTTTTATTAAAAAAATTCGTGTCCGATTATATGAGCAGGTTTGTATAACAGAGAGAATATTTGCTTTGACTTTTGTTAAAATATATAAATAATTTTTAATTAATATTAATTAATAAAAATCAAATCTTCAAAAAATTTGTACATGATGAGTAAGAGCCTTATATATTACTATCTCCGTCCCACACCGTGTCTGCTACACTGTAAACACGATATTTTAGGAGGGGTGTAATTAGTAGATAATTAAGAATGTATTAGTGAAAATAATTATCCAATAATATAAATAATTATAAATTAAGATTAAGATAACTAATTAATTTAACTAAAATTTTAAAAAAAATTAAAAAGTTTAAAATAAGATTAAAGTGTGTAATCATTTTCAAAAAAAAGGAAAGTGACATGGTATGTGGGACGGACAGAAACGGCAACGTGGACATAGTACGTGGGACGGAGGGAGTACTACATTAGACACCTATTTTCTTTCAACTATTTTCAAACAATTCAAATTTTCAATCGTCTAGTAAGGAATGACCGGGTAGCGTTAATAGTGAATTTGTAATCGTGAAGTCATGGGTTCAAACCCCAACGCCTAGTTTGCAGGTTATTAAATTTGGTCGAAATTTATTCGGTGCGCACTTTCGGATAGCAACGGCGGTTCCCACATTATTAAAAAAATAAAAAAATTCAATAAATCTTAAGCAACCATTTCATAGGTTGATAAACTATTCAAGATTTGGACACTTTCCCAATATATATTTGATATAATAAACTCTTTTTGTCTACACTAGTAAATATTTTATTTGTCATTTTAGTATATTCAAATTAATTTTATTATTTTTTTAAAAAATAATTCTAAATTAAATATTAAATACTTAGGGGTGGACATGGTTTGGATATTTGCAAATATGTCGGTATTTGATATCCGAACCGAACCGAACAAATACCCGAAACCGCGAATCGTATTCGAATCGAAAATTTCAGTTAACTGAAAATATTTGTAATATTTGCAAATAATTCGAACATAACAGAAATTAAAAAAATAATATATTAAAAAATAATTAAAATTTTAATTAAATCAAAATATTTGCAAATATTTCAAATATCCGAACCGAAACCGAATTGAATATAATTATTAATATAAATTTTAAAATATAATAACATAAATATATAAATAAATTCGGAAACCGAAACCGAACCGAATCAAACCGAACAAATATCAAATATGCAGTATTTGTATTCGAACCGAATTTATTCAATTAACTGAAAATTCGATTCAACGATTCTGACGGTTCGATTTTTTTAACCACCGAAGTTGCTACAATTTTTAAAAAGGTGTACGGAAATACAAAGCAACATACCATAGACAGCCAGTTGATAAGGTCGGTTGATGAAGTCATTATTAACTGAGTGTTGTCGTAATCTAAATACTATATTGTACTATTAAACTACACGTCAACAAAAATGAAAAAGTACAATACTTGATTAGACCCACTTAGGTAACCTATAAATTAATCCATAATTAGCTTCCCAAATCTCAAAATTAATTAATTAATAACCCAATCATTTTGGATGTGATCATTCAAATTATGCATCATATTATCTTTATATATATATATATATATTCATATACAATCAGTGCATCGATCATATACAGCACAAACACAGAAACTACATATAAAAACTCTCTACCAAAACAAAAAGCAAAAATAAAAACTATAAAAGATTTGATTAATTAATTAATTAACTATAATCAAGCTTAATTAATTTTTTCCATAATCCATAATAAAATCTACTCTCCATTAAGCAAGTGCATAGGCCAAAGATCGTCGTCCATGCTCCAAAGGCTCAACTGATCGTTCAAGTTCGATTGGTCCGTCGCCGTCGGAAAATTCGCCGCCGCGCAGCTCTGAAACGCAGCTCCGGCTGCGGCGGCGTCCATGCTTCCGGCGGCGGCCTCCAAGGAAGAGAACGATTGGTCGACGGCATGGTCGGCCCCGCCGTAGGAGATGTGGCTGCAGTGGCTTGTGCTGGGCTGATCATTTGTGTTAATTCTCTGATAATCATGGTCGCCGGCGACGGCGACGGCGACGGCGCCGGCGCTTTGCGCTGCGGTGTTTGGATCCGCGTGTTCGCCGTGCTTCATGTGCTTTTGAATTCGGGTCCTCCAATAATTCTTTATTTCATTATCGGTCCTTCCGGGAAGATATTTTGCAATTTTCGACCACCTTCATTCATAGCATAATATAGAATATATGAGAAATGAATTAATTGACCTAAAAATTAGGTGGAGATAGGAAAAATGGGAGTGGGGCCATGTAGCAACTAAAAACATTGCATTTTGAAGATGATTAGAGAGTGCATGTTCTATGGTTGAAATTTAACATATCTATATAATAATTAAATATAAATTTAAATTAAATTTGGGCATATCCTACTACTAATTTTCTCATTACAAAAAAAATAACATATTTATAACGAAATTTCATCCCTAAAGTTCAAGTAGCTAACGTCATTAGTAACGAAAAAAATAGATTTAGTGACAAAAAAATTTTGTTACAAAAATGATTTTTTCTTGTAGTGTCTCCTCGTGCCCTCCTCCCTCGTAGGAAAAATATGTATGTTAGATTATCAATTTTATTATGTGAATATTACATTGTAGTTAATTTGTGACTTTGGTTCTAAAAATATATGTAGTGATCTAAATTTACAGGATTAAAATATTTATGAGCCAATTGTAACTTGGACGACTAAGATACAATATAGTAGTGACATAATGGAACTATTCATCATGTATATATATCTATAAAAAAATTTCCCTGCAATCATATACAAGCAAGGTGTTGTTTAGCTTGAAAATATATAATATTTCTTTTTTATTTATTATGGTTGATATTGTTTTTTTTTTTTTTTTATTCAGAAAAAGTTGTAAATTAAAAATATAGAAAAATAATCCCAAGCCCCTGTTAACAGTCCCTTAATGATTTGCTTTCATGTTGTGACAAAATGATAAAAACATATATATTTTTACCATGATACATGTAATATGATAGTATATAATTAAACGAAAGACATGATCACTTTATGGCCATGTATATATATATATATATATATATTGTAATTATTTTCAAGTGGTTCTTCTACTAATAAATTAATAACACACAAACATGAAATCATGCAAAAAGTTCAACCTCAAACATAAATGTGTGTATCTGTACAACACTTGATGTTTAGTTTCTTTCACCTTTATTCTACAAAACCCCCCTTGAAAATGACTACTAATATCTATATATATATATTACTATGGCCATGCTCATGATACATATACATAAATGTGTGTGTGTGTATTTGATGTTTTTGTGATGTTAAATTGACCCTTTTTTTTTAACTTTTGTTTTGAGGGTGGGAGAGGGGTTTTAGGTAAACAAAAAAAAAAAAAAATATATATATATATATATATATATAATAATTATGAGGAAAGAATAATAAGTAGTGAAAGCAGAAAGAATTTAATTTAGGCAAGTTGGGGAGGTTTTACTATTTATCCAGAAAGGTTACGACAATGCATGGGAGCCAACAGCTGCTTACTACACTAAGGTAGGTGCTCGTCCTTGTCACACCATCTACACCGTTCCCCAATACTAATCGACGGTGGAGATCGGCCCGGGCGCGGAGCTCCCGGGAGCGGCCAAGAATGAGTCGACATAGCCAACAAGTGGGGAAGTGCATGTGTTGATAATGTTATATGTGACTTGATGAAAAGGGACTTTCTATTTTCGGAAAAATTCTATCCCTTACATCATCACTCCCTTCTTTATTCACAACGTGTTTCTCTCTCTCTCTAACTCTCTAACCCTCTCTCTCTCTCTCTCTCTTAGTTTTTAAATTCATCTTTTCTTCCTCATCTTTATCAAGATTCTGTTTACACTAACAAATATTATTTCAGAAGGGAAACTATGTGTAAGCTCATGTAAAAATCTTACATGATCATTTTCATTTGGGTGAAAAAAAAAATAATTATTATTATTATTTCTTTAAGAATTTGAACATATATAGATCATCTACCTTAATTAGCACAAATGGGATCGTTGAAAATTAGTCAAATAATACTATTCGAAAAATATATAGAGAGAAAATTTAATTTGGTGGCCAAGATCGAAGTGCAAAACTAATTAAGTTCATTATATAAACAATTGATGAATAATTTGCAGCCAATCATCTGAATTTCCTCACGTTTAGAATTTCTGTATATAGCCTTTATTTTACCCATGCCTCGATAAAAATAATACTATTCTGTTTCAAATATATCACAAATTAATTTTACCATGTTGCCAAATTATACATAAGACAATAAATAATTTGTGGCTCACTTTTTCTCCCCACTGAAAAGTAAGTTTATGATATATTGATATTCCCATAAATAAATAAATAAATAAAGTAAGTTTATGATATATTGATATTCCCATAAATTAAAAAGAAAAAAAGAAAAAAAAAAAACTAAGTTTATGATATGCATGCATACGGTTGGATCAATTTCTTGGCAGAGAATGAGCCCTATTTTTTGCTAAATTTATTTAGCTTATTTATTTCCTTCGTTTGCTACTTTTTCCTTTTGCAACTTAATAACAAAAATCACATATAAAATAAAAATAAAACAAAAATAAAATAAAATAAAAATAATATAATGATTATATATATACCTGTTTCCCCATTTAGCATGCAACTCCATGATCAAATGCTGCTCCTCCGGCGTGATATTTCCGCGCCTAACGTCTGGCCGGAGGTAGTTCAGCCATCGCAGCCGGCAGCTTTTTCCCGTGCGCTTTAACCCTAAACATGTTTAATATACATATATATGTATATTCTTATTAGGGTTTTCTTTAAATAAATTGTAAGAGATTAATGAATTAGGGTTTTTATCGAATTGTATGGACACACACACATATATATATATATGTATATAAATTGAAAATTACCGGCAGATCGAGCGAGGGAGTTCCAAACACCTTCGCCGTGATTAGCGATGTAATTTATAAGAATGAGATCTTCTTCCATAGTCCATGGCCCTTTCCTCACTTCAACTTCTTGATGGTGATGATGATGATGATGTTGATGAGATTTGCATGCTTTCTTGTCCATTCATTAGATGATCAAGAGATTTAGAGTGAGAAATAAAAGAGAGAGAGAGAGAGAGAGAGAAAAAAAAAAAAAAGAAAAAGAAAGAAAGATATTTTTTGGAGATAAAATAATAATGGAAGGGTGAGCTCAATTTATAGAACTTGTGTAGGATAATTTTCTCAATCTTTTGATTGCCTCTTATAATTAAGGATTGCCCTCTAAATGTGCTTTTAACCTAACTTCAATTCAAGATTTAAATTACTTCTTTAATTTGAGATGATTTACAATACACACATACATACATAAATATATATATATTAAAATATTTATGTAACATTATTTATAGGCATATTTGTAAATTCTAGGGACTTTATTACAGCGGGACACAAACCGTAATACGACGTCGTTTACTGTGAACGTGCAGTGGCCACCACTACTTTACCCAATTATTACTATCTGCTTAGTCCTCTCTCTAAATATTTATATGTACCCTGTGGCTTATCTTATTTCTAATTAAATTTAAAAAAAATAAAATTAATTATATATATAGTAAAAAATTTTGACATGACACCCACACAAAAAATTTATCTGCAACTGTAGCGTGACAAGTGAGCTATAAAAAAATATTTAAAAATGTTGTGATATTGACGTTTCTGTGTACGTAACATGATGATCATCGATCTCCAGTGCATATATGTAAATATGTACAGCATATGCTTATTTACCATAATTGGACATATGAATAATTATTTTTAATCGATTTCCAAAACTTATTTCCACTTCAAGAAATGTATTTATTCTTAAATCAATTTTTTTTTTTTTTTTTAAAAACTACACATAATATATATGATTAACTTACTAGCTCAATAAAAGTAACAATTAGTATAAATTTATTTATCTGTATCTTTTTATTGTTTTGATAATATTACATGTAAATCATCGTGTGATGTAAAAATTTAAATATAAAATTTACGTCTTATTTAATGTTATGAATAAGGAATTGGAGTCGGCTTGTTTAATTTACTGTGTATTCTTACATGTTCTTTAGAATTCATATGTTTTTGTTAAAATTATATCATTAATTTTTTTATTCAAAATATCTTAAGAATAGTATTTTTATTTTTATTTTTGAAACGATTACACTCTTAAATTATGGAAGAAAAAAGTTTAAAATTTTAAATTAGCCTGGACTAGGTCTATATGACTATATGCAGGGCCGGGCTCGGACGAAAGGGGCGTCCGTCCAGTCCAGGACCCAATCTAAATTGGGACTCATTATTTAATTATATTATATATACATTATTTATATATATAAGTTTTATTAAAAAAATTAGAGTAAATCATTTATATATATTTAGAGGTCTTTTATTTTTGTTTTAATTATTTTTTTTGCACTAAAAAGATAATAAATATTAGACAAAATTACTATTACTATTATTATTAGGCAAGATTACCAATAACTCCTTTATAATTTCGAAACTCAATGTAAATCCTCTATATACTTTAAAAATTGCATGAACCTCTTATACTTTAAAAAATGTTCTATGAAACTCATTTATATATATATATATATATTTTTTATGATGAGAAGATGATTTTTCATCTATATTTTTTGCATGGTGAGGATTTCATATAGCGTTTGTTAAATATAAAGGAGCGTTACGCAATTTGTACAATATGTGAAAAATTTATGTTAAGTTTCGAAATTAAATTTATGATATAAAAAATGTTTTTTTTTATTTATATTTTATTATAGGTAAAAAATATTATATATATATATATATTTAAGAGTCTCTGACTTTTATTTCGCACCGGGCCCTTCGAAAGTCAGGAAGGGTCCTGACTATACGGAACACTTAAATTGAATATATGAAGTTTAGTTTTAAGAAATCCAAATTAATTTGAATGGACAAAACAATGGGAATTTAACACAAACCTAATTATCTAGAAATAATTGTACTAATTATTAGCACTTATAAAGTAATGAAAAGTGACGTGCAAAAAAGGCTAATTAATTTTAATTAATTGTGACACTGTGGCTTAATTAAGTTAAAGGTTTGACTTAATTCCAAACGGAGATTGTACCAAATTTAGACCACTTCCATACTTCCAATAAATTAATTTTACAATTTTTAATGCAACCATATACAGATAATTAGTAAATCATTTAATTTTATAAATTATGGCCATATTTTTAAGTAGTTTATTTTTATGTTTTAGATTATTACAAAATAGAAGAGTATTAATCAATTTGCTGCTTTACATTCGATGATTTTTAGAACGCCACACAACAGTAAAAAAAAAATAAATAAATAAAAAATAATGTTTTAGAAAAATTTCAACAAAACTAAATAAAATTTAATATTTTTTTACTATAAAAAATAAAATTTAAAGATTAAAAGTATAAATCAATCGTACGGATAAATTTTTTATTATTTTTTATTATTTTTTACATTACAATATAAAAAATTAAGAGAAACAAATTACTATAAAATATACAATTTTTATTATTTTTTACATAAAAAAATACGTATATTTTGAGAGTTGGGGGTCAGTTCTCCTTAATCCTGGTATAGTTCGTAGTGAGTAATCATCAATTAATTTAATTGACATATTATCCACTGAAATTATTTGAAATAAAGTATAGCCGATATATGTAGTTAATTATGTCTAAATTAGGAGATGGTGAGGGAAAAGGACAAATTGAGTGTAGTAATTATGATTTCTTGTCTGGACTTAAGCTATTAATAACCAACTCAAGTCTTGGAGTGACTGATTCCTAACCTATTTAATTAATTAATATATTTGTGTGTGGTTGAGTTTGAATTTTGCTAAATTGGTTTCATGGAAAGAATTCTATTTGGAGGAAAATAATAACGACTTTTAAGAATAGGTTACGTTGTAGATTAAGGTTAATTAATTAATTAATTAATTGCCTGATTTGATAGGCCGCATATGCAATGCAATGCAGTAGTAGTAGATGTTATCCTGATTAAGACTTTCTTAATATCATAATAATAATAATAATAATAATTAAAAATTATATGAAGACAAGTAATTAAACAAACCTTAAATGACATTTGATAATTAATTGTGAAATTGATATCAAAAGCCCAAGGAACGTTGTGGGCTGAAAGTTGCAGACCATGACCCTCCAGCAATGAAAAGCCCATCATACTTATTTGGGATTTGCCATTTGGATTTCTGAATCATTTCTTATTATTATTATTATTATTATTATTATTATGGTATAATAGTATTTTCTTTTTTAAGTATTGGAGCGTGATTACATAGTCTACCAACGGTGTGTTTTTGAATTTTGAGTCACAAATTTAAATAGTAAAAATTTTGAATTTGAATAGTTGTACAATGTAATATAAATAGGTGTTGATGTGATGTTTTGAATGTAAAATTAATTTTTAGTATAATATAAAAATAAAAAAATAGGTGTTTGATTTGATGTTTTTTGAAAAAAAAAATGGGATGAACAGTGTATTTGGGGGAGAATCCCAAACAAACACACCCTAAATACAATATTTTCAGGGTGTGTTTGTCTCGGGGTTTGGATTTTGGATTGAGATTTGAATAGTAAATTTTTCAATGTGAATAGTTGTATGATGTGATATAAATAGATGTTGATGTGATGTTTTGAATGTAAAATTGATTTTTAGTATAATATAAAAATAAAAAATAGGTGTTTGATTTGATATTTTGGGGAAAAAAAATTTGAATGAATAGTAAAGTTTGAAAAAAATCCCCCAAACAAACACACCCTATGTATCCTACATATATATATTTTTAATTATGAGAAAAAATAATATTGACTATGTTCATCCAATATTTTTATGAAATGATTTTTTTTTGTGTGTGTGGTAGGAGAATTGAGAAAAATATAAAATATGTTATTTTAAATTGAATATTTACCTTTTTGACATTTTTAATGACTTTTTATAATGAATATTTGAAATTTTTTTTATATAAAATATTTTGTATTTATTATTATTGTTTTTAGATAATCACAATTAAAAAATGATGATGGAAGGAAAGAACGAACATATCATATCTGTTTTTTTTTTTTTCAAGTGTTTCGATAGATAAATATTTAAAAATTAAGGAACAATTACGGGCAACTAGTAAAAAATTATTTGCTGATAAAAATGAAAAAAATAACCAAATATAAAATTAGAGAAGAAAGGAGATTTGCATTTCAGATGCATGACTTTTCTAGATTAACCAAGGGAATCTGTACATGAGAGAGGTTAAATACAATTGATGGAATCTAATAAGTATTCCCGTAACAAATCAGTATAATAAACTAACAAACTAATGTACACGTGTATAGTCATATCTAGATTTATCCATAATATGTATCATCACTCCGATTCCTCTGTTGGGCCTCCTCTGCTTCTTGGGTATATTGTTGAATGGGCTTGTTGTAGATCACTCAAGTAGCAACTTCATTCATCACTCCCCCTCTCCCCCCCCCCCCCCCCAAGCGAAAATGGGCTGTAAGAGGCCAGATTCAGCTTGGAGCGAGACAAAGTGAAAGCGGATGAGGACAAGGCTTCCGTGGAAACATCTGCAAGTTGCTGAGATGAGGAAACGTAGATGGGATCAATAAGACCAACAACATAGTGATCACGCACAAAATGACAGTCGGTGTCCACATATTTGGTGCGTTCATGGTGGATTAGATTGTTGACCATGTGTATACATGTCATGTTATCACAGTAGAGAGGAATGGGAAGAGTTTGGGGCAACTTAAAATCACGCAATAGGTAGGTAATCCATAGGAGCTAAGCTACAACGGAGGTAAGAGCACGATATTTGGCCTCCGCTGAGGAACGAGCAATGGTGGTATGCTTCTTTGTCTTCCAAGAGACCAAACAAGGGCCTAGAAAGATACAATAACCCGTGAGAGAGTGACGAGAATCAAAACAACTAGCCCAATCTGCATCAACAAAGGCAAGGAGAGTAGGAGATACAGTAGC